GTCCTGAACACACTCGGCCCAGCCACAGGCAGGGGCCCCGCACAGACAGGGTCGGAGGCAGGGGCTTGGGAACGGCCTGCCACACTGCCTGCTGCAGGAGTGGACCGTGCAGCCCGCGGAGGCCACCAGCAGCCTGCGGCATCCAGGCCCCCAGGGCCGTGCACAGCAGGGCCCCGAGGCAAGCCCCTGCCCAAGAGGTGCAGGCCTCCTCCAAGGTGAACCCCAAGACTGTCTCCAGGCCTCTCCGGAAGCTGGCTGAGCCCCCTAGGGCCCCCACCGCCAGCGTCTGAGGGCTCCCCTCTCCCCAGGACCCCTCATGGGCATTAGCAGCAATAGATGAGGCTCTGATACAGCGCCCGCCTCTCAGAAAAACCAACAGAACTCAGCCTGTTCCTAAAGCAGGGCCAGGTCCAATGCCCACGTCCAGCGCCCAGCATCCACCTCAGGGCCCCCCCCAGGGCCTCCAGCAGAGCCTTGATCTGCCGGGGTGCTGAGGCCCACTCCCCCAGGCTCACAGCCGGGGCATGGTGAGGACGTGCGCCAGGGGACGCAGGGCTGTGGCTGGGCTGTGTGGGTGCCGACACTCAGCACAGAGCCGGCTGGAAAAGCTACGGCAGCACTTGGGGGCACAGAGACGCACATGCCTTCGGGGTGCCACTTGAGAGGAGGCCTGCTGGGGGACCGCGCCTCCCCGAGACCCTGAACGGAGCGCACTTGCCTCACACATGTCCGACTTCCTGGGCCCCGCGCTGCCCGGCTCGGCGCCGGCCCCCTCCGCGGGGCTGTGGGCGCGGCCGCGGCCGCTCATCTGGATGCCGCCTTCCTCCTCCTCGGCCTGCTCACCCTGGCCGGGGCTGTCCCCGCTCCCGGCGCCCTGGGGAAGCGGGGCGTGCAGCACCTCCGTGCAGAAGAGCGTGCGGGGGCCGTGCAGCTCGCAGAAGTGACACAGGGCGACGATGGCGTTCATGGTGCCCTGGGGAGCAGGGGGACACCGTGAGCAGAAGGCACCCCCACGGAAGCTCCCCGGCGCCTCTAGGACTTCCCGCTTGACCACTGGGGCAGCACCCGCTTTGCACCCAGCGCCACGTCAGGGGCAGCACAGACAACGGGAAGCCAGACCCCATCGGGCCCAGAGGCAGCCACGAGAGGGGGCTTGGGGGTGAATGGCCGCACCAAAGGCCCTCCAGGCAGAACTGAGACAGGGCCCCGGGGCAGACAGCACAGGAGCAGGACAGCTACCCTTGCAGGGACCCGCAAACTCCTGGGCAACTGAGAGGTCCATAAAGTGGACTTCAAGTGGACCCCTGCTCAGCACGCACCCGCTGAGCGCCTCCCAGTCTGGACGAGGAAGCAGCCCTCCCCGGGGAGGGGCACGGGAACCTGCCCAGTCCAGTGCTCCGAGGGGCCAGTGGGGCTGGCAGAGGCCTCCAGAGGAGGGGTCTTGAAGCCCCAGGATGCAGACCCCTGGGGCCTCGGAGAGTGAGGCTCCAACATGACACAGGAGACCTGGACGACAGCGGAAGAGGCCGTGCAGGCTGGCTCACAGCACGGCAAGCCCGGTGACAGGAGCCCGTCACAAAAGGACAAGCAATGCCCAATTGACACGAGACTGTACGGGGGACTTTACCTCTGGAAGGGAAGGATAAAGTTTCCTTTGGTGCAAAAAGAACTTTGAAATTCACACATCCAAGTTGGGGGTGGGGGTGGGGCTCGGGCTCCGAGTGGTGGGATCCACAGGGACGGAAGGGGCAATGGTGCCAGGGGGCTGGGCAGTTCACGTTTAAGCCCGGGATGTGGACAGCACTGGAGCCAGCCTGTGCTGGCGGTTCCATCACTCAACACACAGCTGTGTGCTGACAATGGTCCACTTTATGTGCATTTTAGCACAATTTGGACAGAAAAAAAAAAAAAAAAAACCAGTGGGCAGGGATCCCCTGCAAAGTAACAGGGAGGTCACTGGTGCCCTAGCAGAGGTCAAGGTCAGAGAAACAGAGCCCACACCCGTGCCTGCCCACCAATGGCAACCCACCTGCCCGTCCGCGGACCCGGAGGCAGCAGGGGCTGGCAATGGCGGAGGCAAAACGGAAGAGAAGCAGGCGGGTGCGAGCGTGGAGAGCGGAGGCTCCGGCCCCTGGCCCGAGGTGTTCCCAGAGGCAGGTGACGCAAGTGCAGATGGCCCGACGCTCAGCCGGGATGCCTGGAGCAGGCCGTGGCCACACCGACTGCAGATGAGAGGGCAGGGCTGGGGAGAAGGTCCCGGGCACCCGCGGCCCTGCCCCTGCCCTGTACCCGGTCCGAGGCCTCCCCAGCCAGCCCACCCGGGACAGCTGCCCCGCCCCCGCCCTGCCTCATTTCTGTCTCCTAACAGGTTGTATGTACTTCCCCTTTACAAAGATCAGATTTCCTGGGGCCGGTGCTGTGGCACAGAGGTTAAGCCTCTGCCGGCAGTGCCAGCATCCCGTATCAGTGCCACTTCGAGTCCAGGCTGCTCCACTTCCAATGCAGCTCCCTGCTAACGCTCCTGGGAATGGTCCAAGTGCTTGGGCTCCTGCACCCACGTGGGAGACCCAGAAGAAGCTCCTGGTTCCTGGCTTCAGCCTGGCCCAGCCCCAGCTGTTGCAGCCATTTGGGGAGCGAACCATTGGATGGAAGATTGATTGATCTCCTCTCTCTCTCCCCCCCATATCTCTGCCTTTCAAATCTTAAAAATAAAAATAAAATTTCCAGCACGTAGAGACGTTGTCCCCTGGTGTCTACAGCAGTTCCCAACACACAGGGCACCCAAAGAGCACGTGACGGATAAATAAACAGGTTTAGGGGCTGCCCACGGGGAGGTGACAGCCGTCAGCACAGGAAGTAGATGGAGGTGCCCACCGCGGGGACAGCCCAGTGGCACAGGAGCCGATGGACTGAGTTTAAAGAAAGAACCCAGGGGGTCCATGACGGTGAGGTCAAGAACATTCGTCAAGGGCTTTGAGACCCACAGCGGACGAGGAGACATGGGAGGTGACCATGGATCAGACCAGGACCGGAACCAGGAGGTCAAGGCAGGGCTAATAGGATGGAAAACAAAAGCAGACACAGATGCCCTGCCCCAGAGCCTGGAAAGGGGGCCACGCCTTCCTTGGAGGAAAAAAAAAAAAAAAAAAAGGCTCCTTCCAGCCACACACCCAGACCAAGGCAGCCCTCTGCCCCACCCCAGGCGCACCTGCTCCAGCCTGCCTAGGCCGGAGCGGGCACCAGAGACGCTGTCACCCAACGTATTCTAGGCCCAGGGAAAAAAAAATCCAGAACCAATTCAAAGAGCACCGGTTTGAGTCCCGGCTGCTCCACTTCCAATCCAGCTCTCTGCTATGGCCTGGGAAAGCAGTGGAAGATGGACCAAGCGCTTGGGCCCCTGCACCCATGCGGGAGACCCAGAGGAAGCTACTGGCTCCTGGCTTCGGATCAGCCCAGCTCCAGCCATTTCAGCCATTTGGGGAGTGAACCAGCGGATGGAAGACCTCTCTCTTTCTCTCTCCTTCTCTGTGTAACTCCGACTTTCAAATAAATCAATAAAGCTCTCTTCCACTGCCTTCCTCTAGCTCCACTCCAGCCTCCCCTGCCCAGTGAGCTCTACACCCTACAAGCAGGTGTCCCGACTCCTCAGCCTGGCCGGGACCGCCACACCACACTCTCCCCGCCCTACCACCGCCCCCCCCCCCAGCTCCCTAGGATCCCAGAGGCCCACAGGGGGTTGAAGGAGCCCCCGCAGATCCAGCAGGGGCCAGGTGACCCGCAGTGAGCATGCAGCAGCCCCTAACCGGTCTCCCTCGGGGCTTCCTTCCGGCTGGAACCCGCGGGCACCACTGCTGCTGCCCTCACCTAGGTTGTCGCGGACAGCAGACACAAGGTCACGTGCCAGGGTTACTCAAGGACGCGATGACAACAGTGATAAGCCAGTGCCACCGGCTGCCGCCTTTCTCTGCAGTGACAAAGGTCCCCCCCACCAGCCTGGCTGGACACCGGGGTGGCGCCGGGTGTCCACGGCACGCTGCTTCTCACCCCCTGCTGACCTCGCTGGACCAAGCATTCTCGGCCACGTCCACCAACCCAAGGAAGAACTGCGGTCTTCCAGGGCAAACCCGGGCCGGCGCTGGAGCAGGGGGCACCGGGAGAGAGGCAGGGCAACGTCAAATCGGAACCAAACAACGGCCCCGGCTCCTCCTCCTCCCGCGAGGAGCTAGGATGTGGCCTCACGCTCCCTCCACATCGCCAGCTCTCCGCAACGCCCCAAGCCACTCGCCCACCGCTGCCCGCCCCACACTCGGCCGGGCCCTCGCCGTCCCCGCCGGACAGGTCAAGGTGCGGCCGGAGCCGGCCCTAAGGGACAGGTGGTCGCGGCCGCATCGCACGGCGGGCCCGACCCCGAGGGGGAGACGCCCAGACCCGGGCGGCCACACTCACCCGCGGTCCCCTCAGTCCAGGCTGCCCCGGCGCCAAGCCAGAGGCGCGTGACTGGGTCGGACCGTACCATCCGCCCAGGCCCGCCGCGGGGGCGCCCGGATTGCCCGAGCGCACCCCGCACCGCGAAGCGAGCGAGGCCCCACCAGGTCCTTGGGTCTGGGAACGAAGGCCCGCGCCCCCGTAACTCCGAAGTCGAGTGGCAGCGGGAATCGCTCAACCCGACACCTTCCTCTTCCACCGCCGCTGCGCCGCTCCCCCTCTCAGAGAAGTAGAGAATAGTTTAAACCGCACCCGCAAGCGCTGCTGGACAAAACCATTTCAAACGTGTGGGGGTGCTTAAAATGTAAAAACCAACCAAACAAAAAGATTTGAGGGGGAAATAGAGCCAATCCTAGACTTTCTGCCCACAAAATACAGAAAAATAAAGACGAGAACGTAAAAATCTGCTGTAACTCCTTTTAGTTTCACCGCCGGTTTTCACTAAATAGCTGATAAACCCCATCCTCGCGAAGAGGGTGGAAGGTGCGGCGGCCGTCAGGCAACAGGGGCGGTGCTCGGCTTGGGCGGCTGGGCGCCGGTGCGCACGCGCGGGACTCAGTTCCCTCCGCGGAACCGTCGGAGCCACACTTGCAAATTGTTTGTTTTGACCGAATATCAGTTATTCCATAATGTAGTCTGTAAAACTCGTGGCGCCTCCGGTGCTCCTCCGGGCTTGAGGGGGTGACGGAGCCCGGGCGGAGGTCCCGGGGTCGGGGGCGGCCGCCACCCACGTTTCCCTGATCCCGCTCAGCCCCGCCGCTGCGCTTAGCGAGCCGAATCGAGGGTAGAGCGGGGCCCGCCGAAGCGCAGCCGTGCCAGGAATTCCGCTTTTCCTCGGCTGTCAGCCACGCAGGAGCTCGCTGGATGCTTGGAGAGTGCAGGAGACCCTGGAGGGGCGGGCGTTTGGAGCCGTGGTTAGGGCGCTGCCCGGGTTCCGCTCGGGGAGGGTCCCTGCTCAACGTGGGAGACCCACGCAGGGTGCGCGGCTCCTGGCCCGGCCCCAGCTGCTGCGACCATCCAGATGGCGAACCTGCGGATGGAAGCTCTCCCTGTCTCTCTCTGCTGTTCCAAGGAATAAAGGTGACAGTTCAGGGTTAAAAATTCCATTCTTTAGGGTCTAGCGGGTAAAGCCACCGCCTGCAGTGCGGCTGTCCCATAGGGGTACCGGCTGCTCCACTTCTGATCTGGCTCCCTAATGTGCCCGGGAAGGCGGCAGCAGGTGGCCCAGGTGCCCGGGCCCCTGCGCCCAGGTGGGAGCCCTGGAGGAAGCTCCTGGCTCGTGCCTGACCCAGCCCCAACTGTTGCCGCTAAGCTATTTGGGGCGTGAACCAGCGGAGGGAAGATTCCGTCTGTCCTCGTTCTAACGCTGCCTTTGATACTTGAATAAATCTCAAATCTTTTTAATTACTCTACATTCACTAATTGCACAGTCTTGTTTCCATCAGGTTTTTGGTCTCTCAAACTCTGGGAATGTTTTTTCCTGGTTTTTCTCTTACCAAAAGGTGTTACTGAAACGAACACTCATTGGTGACGTTTTAAGCTTAAAGACAATTTTTTCCCCATCTTGGAACTTTAATTCCAGGAATTCCCTTTCTCAGTCACAACCCGGTCCAGATTCCACTATTTCCATGCCATCGGCTGATGAGGCTCCAATGAGGGGAAGCCATTCAGTCACAGTAGCCTGATTTGGGCCATTAGTATCTTTCCCAACTCCCCAGGCTTTAGCTGCCATCTTCCCCCCAACACACACACGATCTAGTTCATGTATTTGAAAGGCAAAGGTAGAGTGAGAGAATCTACAGGTTCACTCCCCAGAGAGCCGTGGCTGGGCCTGGCTGAAGTCAGGAGCCTGGAACTCCATCCAGGTCTCCCCCATGGGTGGCAGGGATCCAGGCATTTGGGGCCAAGTTCTGCCGCTTTTCTTCCCCGGGCACGTTAGCAGGGAGCTGGTTCGGAAGCGGAGCAGCTGTGTCAGGAGCCAGATGCCGGTATCCCAATGGCTGCCTACCCTTTAGAGATGCTTACTCAAATTACATGAATCTGTAAGAACTTAACAGCTGGGGCCGGTGCTGGCCATAGCAGGTAAAGCCATCACCTGCAGTGCTGGCATCCCATATGGGCACCAGTTCAAGTCCCGGTCGCTCCACTTCTGATCCAGCTCTCTGCTGTGGCCTGGGAAAGCAGAAGATGGCCCAAGTGCTTGGGCCCCTGTACCCGGGTGGGAGACCCGGAAGAAGCTTCTGGCTCCTGGCTTCAAATTGGAGCAGCTGTAGCTGTTACGGCCAATTGGGGAATGAACCAGCGGATAGAAGACTTTCTCTTTCTCTCTCTCTCTCTCTCTCTCTCTCTCTGCCTCTCCTTCTCTGTGTAACTCTTTCAAATAAATAAACCTTAAAAAAAAAAAAGTTTCAGTTTTAAGAGAGGTCGCAGAAGGATTTCTTTTTATGGTTTATTTATTTAAAAGGCAGAATTACAGAGAGAAGGACAGAGGACAGAGATCTTCCATCTCCTGGTTCACGCCCCAGAATGGCTGCCAATGATCACCAGCTGAGGACTTGGCTGGGCCAAAGCCAGGAGCCAGGAGCTTCCTCCGGGTCTCCCACACGGGTGCAGGGGCCCAAGGACTTGGGCCATCTTCCACTGTTTTCCCAGGCCATAGCAGAGAGCTGGGTCGGAAGTGGAGCAGCCAGGACTAGAACCGGCGCCCATATGGGTTGCCAGTGCTGCAGTGCGCCACGCCGGCCGTGGGATTTTGTCTGTTTACCATCACTGAGTCATCCATCTGCCTAAAAAAAGACAGCTGTTCCCAAAGCCAGAATTACCCGGTCACATTTCCTCTGGGCACTTTGCCAACGGCTCAGGCAAGTTAACATCCTCTGCCACATGGTATCCTGTATCCTGACACTCAGAACCAACCAGCCCGCTCGCTCATCTCTGAAGAGCAAGTTAACGGGAGAGAACCGGAACCCAACTTGGCACAGGAGGGGCTCCCCGGCGAGCGCTAGAAACGCTGGACCACAAGCAGGGCTCTCTACTTAAGCCGCTTGTGTCGTGGGGGCCGGGGGTCCCTGGCTGGGTTTATCCCAGTTCTTGCCTCGGCGCGAGAGAATTCAGAGGCCCAGCCAGCGCTGCGGGAAGCCTCTCTGGAGCGATCCTGCACACTGAGTGCGAGGTGGCCTCCCCCACGAGGAAGGAATGGCGTGAGTCTCGGCGGGTGGGGACGTGGCGCAGGCCCGTGGGGGCGCAGGTGCCAGGGACGCGAGCAGCGGGGATTCGGGAGCCGGATGCTCTGAGAGTTCAGAGGGGAGGGGAGGGGAGGCTCGCGCACCGGCTCTGGGTGCAACCCCGCCCTCTGGACCCGGCCACAGCTGCCCGGGGCTCCCCAGTCCTCCGCAGGTGTCGGCTTCTTTGCTTACAAACAGCGAGAACGATTTTGTTTTTCGCACCACGGGACACAGCCTCTGGGGAAGGACCGGCCAATCTGACCGCCCGCTACCCAGCCTCCACCACGTCCTGGGCTACAGCACGGAAGCCCAGGCCCGATCCACACGATCCACACGCAGCCGCAGACGCTGGCGGAGCCGGGGAGGGCCTGCCGCTGGTCTCAGAAATAGGCCAGGCCGCAGGGCAGGGAGTTCCGTCCTCCCGTTGGCAGGCACGCGACCCACGGAAGGCTCCAGGGCCTCTGGTCAGCCGCCACTCCCGTTACAGAGCGCACGTCGTAAAGGACGTCAGTAACAACTTTTCAATTCAAATATTCCCGAGATGCAACCGTTCCTGTTCACAATGAATGCTTGTTTGAAACTACACAGGGGAGAGAGTGCTACAGAAGACACATCCGTGTTCAAGCAGCTAAAACAAAAAGGCAGATTTAATGCAATAACAATAATCTGAGGATAAATAAATCCACGAGAGACTGGGCATTCTCTTCCTTTCTTTGCAGAGAGAACGCCTGTCTTGAAAGCACATGGGGCTGAAGATGTCAACAAAACTGAGTGTCCGGGGGAACAGGCCTGGTGCTCCCTGCTGTCCTCCTCGTACTGGCCACGGCCATGGCCACGGCCTCCCCTGTGGCCCAGGCGGATGTGAGCTTCAAGAGTAACTGGATGGTTTGTTTCCTGAATCGTCCTCCTGTGAGCCCATACTCTGCAAAGGGGAGACAGGGGCAGGGGTTTAGGTTGGCCGGGGTCGGGTTCTCCCCAGCCCCGGGCAAGCACGCCAGCTCCTCCCGCCTCGTCCTGCCAGGGGAAAGCCTCCCTGTGCACCACGGCAGCCGGCGCTTCTGCAGCCACTCTGGCAACCAAAGACACATGTCCAGGCTGTGCTTTGAAAATGCTCTTAAACAAGGATTTCTGTTTTTTTTTTGTTTGTTTGTTTCATTTGTTTTATTTCATCTTATGTGAAATGTAGACAGAAAAGATACAGAGAAACAGAGACAGATCTTGCATCTGTTGGCTCACTCCCAAATGCCCACAACAGCCAAGGCTGGGCCAGGCTGAAGCCGGGAGCCGGGAGCTCTCCACCTGGGTGTCGCACACAGGCGGCAGGCACCCAAGCAGAGTTCACATCAGCACAGAGCTGGACTGGACTCGGGGGAGCCAGCAGCTGGACCAGGCACTCCGATGAGGAACGTGGGCATCCCAAACAGCATCCTAGCTGCTGTGCCGAACAGCCTTCCCTCTGCCGACCGTCTGGTCAAGCTTACCAAGAACACTGGGCACAGGCCGGCATCACGGTGTGGCAGGTTAGGCTGCCACTTGCAGTGCCAGCATCCCAAATGGGCGCCCGTTCGAGTCCCGGCTGCTCCACTCCCAACCCAGCTCGCTGCTAATGCCCTGGGAAAGCCGCCGCGGCTGGCCAAGCGCTCGGGCCCCGCACCCAAGTGGGAAACGTAGAAGGAGCTCCTGGCTCCTGGCTTCAGCCTGGCCCAGCTCCAGCTTTTGTGGCCATTTAGGGATTGACCCACGGATGGAAGATCTCTCTCTCTGTAACTCTGCCTTTCAAATAAATAAAATACATCTTTCAAAAGAAAAACAAAGCACTGGGCAACCTGAAACCAAGTCCCTGTTCCCGAGGGCAAGGCCTCCCCCCAACCCCCTGCTGGAGTGAGGGCCCCGAGGCACCTTCTGCACGAACTGGGGATTCACTGTGATCTCCTGGTCCATGGCCTTCAGCCGCTCGTCCAGCTCTATGCACTTCAGCATCTGCAGGACACACACACGGCGGCCGGGGTCAGCGGCAGGGGCACCACCACCCAGGGGCCGTGCGAGCACCGCCTCCCGCCCGACAGGCCGGCAGGAAGTACCTGATCACCGGGCGCTTACAGGGAACCCCAAGCTTAACCACACGAAGTGGCGACCAGCTGCCATCACACGAGTACCAAGACCACTGCTGGTTTTCAGGGTTCTTCATTGAAACAGAATGGAAAAGCGGGGAGGTGGCGGCATCCGAGCCATCCTGGGGCAGCTCCCTGTGCTGCCTCGGGTCTCTGGCTCAGCCACCTCCCTCCTCAGAGGCAGGGGCACAGGCTGCCTGCACAAGCCCCTCACATCCCGGGCACCACAGCCGCGGGCTCTGCCCCTGCCCTCCTCCAGGTGCCCCCGACCCTGCTGCTGAACGGGGGCCGCTGTTTCTGAACCAACAACTGGGATTTCACAGCTCCAAAGCGCCCCAGTGCGGGCAGCCGTCACGGCAGGCGTGGGGGCGGCAGCCGGAAACCATCTCTTCACGGCCGGGGAACCTTAAGCAGCCTGGCCTGAGACTGCCGTCCTGGGCTGACCGCAGTCGCCGACACTCACCTCCTGATCCATGTGGTGGAGCATGGCAGGGTTGTTGTATTTCTCAGGGTTGTCATGGAAACTGACCATGCCGTCCTTCTGGTTGATACTTGCAAAAATCTCCCCGTCTTCTATCTGGGAGAGAGAGAAAGCCGCGTGGACACAGACACCACGTGAGCCTCCGGCCACGCGGCGTCGGGGCGAGCACAGAGCAGCACAGATGCTGCGGGCTGCACAGCACACTCCCTCCACATGCGCACACACACACATATACACACTCTCGCAATCTCCCCTTGGCTGGGAGCTGTTTTTCACCACGGTGAACTCTGAAGCCCCGTGTGAGCACAACTCGCCGGCACGCGGTATGGCCGTCTCCAGAGCGTTGTCAGCGCCATGGACGGAACCCCTACGCCCGTGAACAGTCACCCCCACTGCCGCCTCCTAGCTCCTGGAACCACGCCTCTGCCTCTCTCTCCGGATCTGCCTTCTGCATTAGTGTCTGGCTGCACTGGTGCAATGCTCTCGGGCAGTCTCCACCCTTCCCTGAGCGGCAGTCTGTCCTGCCGCTGCTTTTCTAAGAGACCCTAGGGCGCGTCTTTCACCCCAGGGGAGGAGGGGTCTCCCCGCGCTTCAGATTCCAAGGTGGCTCCGAGGTCTGTGCTGTTCCTTTCACGGCCGACTACGGGACGGGACCTCAAAGCCAAATCCTGCCCACGAAGGTGGCACGTGAGAGGCCAACACGAGCCCCCAGCAGGTCTCCCCGGCCCCGAGCAACGGCTGCACAGGGTGGGGGTGGGGCCGGGGCGCCCTTGGACAGTGCAACAGCGCTGCCCGAGCTGGCCTGGGCGAGACGCCAGCCAAAGAGGCCAGCACACATCAGACAGGAACAGCTCCACGTGGGCAGAGCGCCCCTTCACATTTTTTTTCTTTTTAAGACTTATTTATCTGGGGTCGGCGCTGCAGTGCAGCGGGTTAAGCTGATCCAGCTTCCTGCTAACGGCCCCTGGACACACATGGGAGACCCGGAGGAGGCTCCTGGCTCGGGACTGGCCAACTCTGGCTGTTGGGGCCATTTGGGGTGTGAACCAGCAGATAGAGGATCCCTTTATTATTATTATTATTATTTTGACAGAGTTTGACAGTGAGAGAGACAGACAGAAAGGTCTTCCTTCCGTTGGTTCACCCCCCAAATAGCCACTACAGCCGGCACACCATGCCGATCCGAAGCCAGGAGCTAGGTGCTTCCTCCCAGTCTCCCATGCAGGTGCAGGTTCCCAAGCACTTGGGCCATCCTCCACTGCCTTCCCAGGCCACAGCAGAGAGCTGGACTGGAAGAGGAACAACCAGGAATAGAACCCAGCGCCCATATGGGACACCAGCGCCACAGGCGGAGGATTAACCAAGTGAGCCATGGCGCTGGCCCCTTTTTTTTTGTTTTGTTTTGTTTTGTTTTTTTGACAGGCAGAGTGGACAGTGAGAGAGAGAGAGAGACAGAGAGAAAGGTCTTCCTTTTGCCGTTGGTTCACCCTCCAATGGCCGCAGCGGCCGGCACACTGCGGCCGGCGCACCGCGCTGATCCGATGGCAGGAGCCAGGAGCCAGGTGCTTTTCCTGGTCTCCCATGGGGTGCAGGGCCCAAGCACCTGGGCCATCCTCCACTGCACTCCCGGGCCACAGCAGAGGGCTGGCCTGGAAGAGGGGCAACTGGGACAGAATCCGGCGCCCCGACCGGGACTAGAACCCGGTGTGCCGGCGCCGCTAGGCGGAGGATTAGCCTAGTGAGCCGCGGCGCCGGCCTCTGGCCCCTCTTTTTTTAAAAAATAAAAGATTTACTTATTTATTTGAAAAGCAGAGTTACAGAGAGAAAGAGAGAGAAAGAAAGAGGTCTTTCATCTGCTGGTTCACTCCCCAAATGGCCACAACAGCTGCTGGTCTCCCACATGGGTGCAGGGGCCCAAGGACTTGGGCCATCTTCCACTGCCTTCCCAGGCCATAGCAGAGAGCTGGATCAGAAGTGGAGCAGCCGGGACTAGAACCAGTGCCCATATGGGATGCCGGCACTGCAGGCCAGGGCTTTAACCTGCTGCGCCACAGCACTGGCCCCCCTGCCCTGTTCCGATCCAGCTTCCTGCTGGCGTACAGCAGATGACTCGAGTACTTGGGTCCCTAACAAAAACAGGGGAGAACCGGACTGAGTTCCAGTCTCCGGACTTCGGCCTGGCCCAGCCCCAAACTTTGCAGCCATTAAAGCAGTAAGCTAACACATGGAAGATGTTTCTATCTTTCTCTGTTGCTCTGCCTTACAAATAAACAATTTTAAAAAATGGACGGAAGGCACCCAGATGAATGTGGACCTGCGTTCCCCACAGCACACTCCTGTGACAACCGTCCACCCACCCAGAAGGGCGAGGTGGCTCAGTGGTGAGCCACAGCTCCAAGCCCAGGGCCACACTCACCACAGGGCGGGCTGTAAGCTCCCAACAGTGAGTGGGCCTGCAGGAGGGCCCAAGGAGCCAGGCCGTGCTCCGATCGGCGGAGGCCAGGGCTGCCCCTTCCTGGGGGTGGGAGGCTCACGGGGCCCTCCGCGAGGGGCGGCTGCGCACTCCTGGCACCTCCCTGGGCAGCTGCCTGCCCTGAGAGCCCCGCCCCTACAGCCCCTCTCAAGCCGGGCAGCCCCCTGCGTGACCCTCGCCGCTGCCCCCAGAGGCTGTGACGTCGCATCTCCTGGCGGAACTCACGGGGGCACAGCGGGAACGGTCAGTGTCCATGGGTGTGGAGCTCCGGGTGTCGCTCCAGCATCCTACACGCCTACTCGAGGTGTGGCCAGGGACCCCCAGACCGCGCACAGAGCAGCGGCCAGGGACAGCGCGGGGCGGGGGCACTGCTGGCTCTCCTGACGCAGCGGGGGAGGGGCCACACTTGATGCTCCTTCCTCCACCTGACCCTTTCATTTCATGAGCTTTACAAATGGCAAACAGGACACACGCCACGCTGGGCCTCCTATGCAGGGACCGGTGACAAGGGGTGCTTGGCTTCTCCTGCTTCGCTGTTCCGGAACGAGCGCCTCTTACTTCCCAAGCACACACAGGCCCAGTTCACTTGTGACAGGGGAGGTCCACTTACCATGTGCAGAACGTACTTCTCCGCCTCCTGAGGACCCGAGAGCTGCACGCGACTCGCCATGTCTTGTAAGGACAGCGTGAGGAAGGTCTGAAAGTCAGAGCAGAATTACGCTTGTGTGAACAGCAGGAGAAAGGCATGTCGTCACGGTGTGGACAGAGGAAAGGCGTGTCGTCACAGGTGCAGACAGCTAGAGATGGACCCGCCCACCTGCGCTGGCCGCAGCTGCTGAGAGCAGCAATGACAGGGCTCATGCCCCACACAGAGGCACACAGCACTTTCGCAGACAAGAGGGAAAGGGCAAACCACAGCTGTGAGAAGCAAAGACTGCAAACACGGAAGTCAGAGGGCCCCAGCACGTGAAAACCGCCCTGCCTCACATCACCAGGAAAACACGACGTGACACTGCACCGCGATTCCACACATCTGACCACACTGCGCACTGGCACCAGTCTGGGAAACCTCCCCAGCCAGGCCGGCAGCCACGCCCACTCGGATGCCCAGCCAGCAGCCAGCACCCGCCTTAGGCCACTCATGGCTTCACCTACACACACTTCCCTATCTATACGAGGCCACAGGCATGCACTGTTAATGGTGCTCACCACCGCAAAACATTGCACACCTACTCAAAGTCTGGGTAAGGACAGAGCACCGCAGTGAGACAGACTTCTAATGTGGTTGGTTAAAAAAAAAAAAAAAACCAACTAGAAAGAATCCATGCCATGAACACTGCCGGACAGAGAGAAGGGCGAGGCAGAGCAGTGCACACGGCAGCAATGCCCGTGCGCAGCAAATCGGGCTAAGTGCCTTCTCCCTCTACTACTCTGGCACTAGGCCACCAGGGCAAGTGTAACAGCCACCACCAGAGAGGCGACCTCTGGACGAGACACGCCCCTTAGCCACCCAGGTCCCCTAGGTGCTGCCCATAAGCCTAACGTGACACAACCCACCACGACTCGGCAGGTGAAGGACCCAGGCCCTGGAGTAACCATCTGGACACCTTCCCTGTTTTAGCGACGCCTGCTTAGTAGACACCAGACCCTTAACTGATGGTTTCTGCAGTGATGGCGCCTTGTTCAATGTCTGTCAGCAATTCTAATTCATTCAACTTTCATCTGCGATTCTACAACTTAACATCTTGCTGAACATGTAGCATCTTTTACCCTCATTAATATATTGATTAAAAAAATATTTTTAAATTAGGGGCTGGCTTTGTGGCACAGCAGGGAAAGCCACCGCCTGTGACATCGGCATCCCATATGGGCACCAGTTTGTGTCCCGGCTGCTCCACTTCCCATCCAGCTCCCTGCTATGGCCTGGGAAAGCAGTGCAAGATGGCCCAGGTGCTTGGGCCCCTGGCATCCCATGGGAGACCCAAATGAAGCTCCTAGCTTTGGCCTGGCCCAGCCCCGGCTGTCATAGCCATCCAGGGAGTGAACCAGCAGATGGTAAATCTCTCACTCTGTTTCTCCTTCTAACTCTCTCAAATGAATAAATCATTAATTTTTTTTTTTTAACTTATTTGCTTGAGGCAGAGTGAGAGAAAGACCTCCCACCCATTGGTTCACACCTCAAATGCCTGCAATGGCCAGTATCAGAGCCAGGAGCCAGGAACCCAGCCCAGATCGCCTACATGGGTGTAGAGACCCAACTACTTGAGCCACCACTTGCTACCTCCCAGGGTCTGCCATAGCACAAAGCTAGAATCAGGAACCAGAGCTGGGTATTGAACCCAGGCACTCCAATGGGAGATGCGGGCGTCTGACCACCAGCCTAAATGCCTACCGCTATTTTAACATTTAATAAAAAACAACAAAAAACAAAAAAAGACTTACTTATTTGAAAGGCAGAGCAAGACAAAGACAGACTGATCTTCCATCTGCTGGTTCACTCCCCAAATGGCTGTAACTGCCATGTCTGGCCCAGCCCAAAGCCAGGAGTCAGGAGCTCCATCCAGGTCTCCCACACGGGTAGCCAGGCCCAAGCATTTGGCCATCCTCCACTGCCTTCCCAGGCACAGAGGTAGGGAGCTGCACGCTCACAGATTAGAAATCTTGCCTGTATTCAGTAACCTAGTGGGGTGGGTCCCCGCTCTCTCCCTGAGGGCAGCTAATGGCAATCTCATTCCACTACCTCTACAACCACAACTTGACTGCCACTCTTCCCTGCTTCCAGAAAGGTCCCCCTCCCGGGTCCTCAGGTTGCCAAGCCCATCATCCTACCAGCAACACAGCCTCCTTCCCAGCCGCAACCACGGACAGGGGGCAGGGGACGCACAGGCACAGATCTGTCACACTTCCCGCATCGCGAACTACTGGATACCGGCCCACAGGAGGCTCAACAGGAAAAAGCAGTCCTCCGCGTGTGAGCTACTCTTAGTGGGAGTAGGCTTCATTTTCCTTTGTATGTTGCCCATACTGTTTGAACACCTGGTGATAAGCGTGCTTTCTATAATCAAAAACCATCGCTATCAACATCTGAAAAATAAGAATCAGGTAATATCCTACACGTCGAGCGCACACACCCGTGGTCTAAGCAAGCAGTCCGAGTCTACTGTGTGCAAGTCAGAGATCGGCGCAGCTGAGGCTCCCAGGCCACTGGGACCGCCCTGGCCTGTGTCACTGAAACCCCCCTCACTGCCCACATGACGCTGCCGACCTCTCCGGGGCTACCTTGCCTGCCTCCCAGGGCAGCCCCACGGCCCACCTCCCCTCCTCCTCACCCGCTCCTCTTCTCCAATAGCCTGCTCTAGCCCGGAGAAGACCCAAAGATACAAATCAAGCTCTGGAAAACCAATCAGAAAGCAGGTCTTGGCATGGTCACCGGGCCGTCCTGTAGCCCCGCCCCTGCGTCCTCAGCACGGGGTGGGGGAGGGGGCGGGGGGGTGCCCCTCACCTTCGTCAGCCTCTGGATGTTTTTCTTGTACAGCGAGGACAGGCACTGCTTCACCAGCCCCATGTTGTTGTCCCGGGTGAACGCCTCGCTGTGCTTGTTCACCAGGTTCCGGAGCTCCGAGGGGTTGTTGGTGGAATACACCTGTGCCAGCTCGTGGTAGGCATTGCTGAGGGGCTGAAGGGTTTGAAGCGGGGGAGAGACCCAGATCAAAACTTCCGAGGACGGAAATGTGCACAGGAAGAGAAAACAAACAAAACCCACAAAACCCACCCACTTACAAAACTGTGTTTTGAGCAAGCACACTCCGCACCACAGTCAGGTAGCAACACCCGCTCCGGAACCAGCCGTAACTTATCCGAAGCAAGTGTCTGGTCGCGCTGTGGAGCGATGGCCCGCGGATCAAGTCTGCGGTGCAGAGCAGGGAACGGCACGGCAGGTGGACGGCCACTGAGTTCAGTCACGGCGCGCGTGCCCCGCCTCCCTCAGTGCAGCTGTCTTGTTCTATCGATGCGCTAGCCTCAGAAGGCGGGCCAACTCCGCCCATTCCCAACTCCCCTCGCGTCTCTCTCTCTCTGTCTCTCTCACAAGCACCTACACACGCCACTTCTGGGAACAAGGAAGACAGGAGCATGCGCACAGGTGTGGCTGAGCACCGACCAAGGGCCTGAGCTGCTGTGGGTGTTTTATACACGCTATGCCCTGTGTGCAATTTTAAATCGGGGCAGAACGATGCGGAACTGTCCAAGGAAGCAGCACCCACAGTGACAGGCGGGACTCAACCCACCTCTCTGGCTCTACAGTCTGTGTTTTCACCACTTAAGAAACCATCTTTTTTTTTCTTTTTTTTTTTTTTTTTTGACAGGCAGAGTGGACAGTGAGAGAGAGAGAGAGAAAGGTCTTCCTTTGCCATTGGTTCATCAGCACCACGCTGATCCGATGGCAGGTGCCAGGTACTTATCCTGGTCTCCCATGGGGTGCAGGGCCCAAGCACCTGGGCCATCCTCCACTGCACTCCCTGGACACAGCAGAGAGCTGGCCTGGAAGAGGGGCAACCGGGACAGAATCCGGCGCCCTGACTGGGACTAGAACCCCATGTGCCGGCGCCGCAAGCGGAGGATTAGCCTAGTGAGCTGCAGCGCCGGCCAAGAAACCATCTTAAATCACTAGTTAGGGCGGCTGACACCCAGCGTTCCCGCCAAAGCAGGCGGCTTGACCCGAAGGCGCGCTCCATCATCATGGCTGCCCAGAGCCACCCTGCCCGGGGCTCTTCCAAGGAGGGCAGGGCCCTGCTTCAGCCACCCCTCGCCTGTGAGCAGCCCAGCACGGAGCTCTGAGCGCCACCACCCGCTCCTGGGCTCAGGCTGCCTGGCTGTCTTCAACAGGCCAGCACGCAGGCTCCCCACAGGAGACTCCGACTGGGGCCCTCACATCCGGATTCTGCACAAGGATGGTCGGGCGGAACTGTCGCCACAACGACCGTTAGCTTATGACCCCTCTGAACGGCTCCGCTGGACAGGCGTGGTGCCGCAGAGGTGCAGCCGCCACTGTGACACTGGCACCCCTCATCTGGGTGCTGGCTCGGATCCTGGCTGCTTTGCTTCTCACCCAACTCCTGCTGTTGCAGCTGGAAAAGCAGCAGAGGGTGGCCCAGGTGCTTGGGCCCCTGCCACCAGTGTGAGACCCGGATGGAGCTCCAGGCTCCCGGCTTCAGCCTGGCCCAGCCCTGACTGTTGTGGCCATTTGGGGAGAGAACCAGCGGATGGAAGCTCGCTCTCTTTCTCTGATGCTCTACCTCTCAAATATGTAAACAGATCTTTAAAATAATAATAATAATAATAATAATAATAATGGAAATAAAAATCATGAGTATGTATGTAAAATTTTTATAAAATTGTTATTTTTTTAGCTCTTGTCCCAGAGCAGTGAGAACTGGGACAAAAGTTCAGTGAGCAGCACTATGGTCTTCCTCAAAAGCTCTCGTGGGGCTGGACTGTGGCGCAGTAGGTTAATCCTCTGCCTGAAGCACCAGCATCCCATATGGGCACCGGCTCTAGTCTAGCTGCTCCTCCTCCCATCCAGCTCTATGCTGCGGCCTGGGAAAGCAGTGGAAGATGGCCCAAGTGCTTGGGCCCCTGTACCTGCATGGGAGACACGGAAGAAGCTCCTGTCTCCTGGCTTCAGATCGACTCAGCTCCAGCCATTGTGGCCATTTGGGGAGTGAACCAGAGGACGGAGGACCTCTCTCTCTGTCTCTCTCACTGTCTGTAACTCTACCTCTCAAATAAATTTTTAAAAATGCGCTCTCATAAGGTTCCCCAACACTTGGGCTGGTCAGCACTGCTTGTTCAGTGCTTTGCTGAACATAATGAAGACAAAGGAGAAAACAAAGTCGCCCCCTGTAGGAGCCAAACCGGCAGAGCTGGCCTGCCCACAGGACGAGCAACTTCCGGAGAACAGCCCACAGGGAACAAGGTCCTGCCTGAACTGCAGCCCCGGCGCCCAATGAGGGCACGTCACTCCTCTGAGGCTGCTGGGGAGCACCAACCCTCCAAAAAAAATCACACACGTCTGCCGTTACTCCGTCTCTGTGTACTTCACACGCTGCGTAAGAAGTCAACTTCAGGCCGGCGCTGCAGCTCACTAGGCTAATCCTCCGCCTGCGGCGCCGGCACCCTGGGTTCTAGTCCCAGTTGGGGTGCCGGATTCTGTCCCGGTTGCTCCTCTTCCAGGCCAGCCCTCTGCTGTGGCCCGGGAGTGCAGTGGAGGATGGCCCAGGTCTTTGGGCCCTGCACCCGCATGGGAGACCAGGAGGAAGCACCTGGCTCCTGGCTTCGGGTTGGTGCAGCGCGCCAGCCACAATGCACCAGCCATAGCGTCCACTTACGGTGTGAACCAACGGAAAAAGGAAGACCTTTCTCTCTGTCTCTCTCTGCCTAACTCTGCCTTTAAAAAAAAAAAAAAAAAAAAAAGTCAACTTTATGTTTAAAACTTACCTTGATGAATCTACCCACAATCTGGGACGTGTATTTTGGTAGCTGTTGTACTTTCCCAAGTAATATCAAAGACACTAGAATATACTTTTTATATGATTCCAACATAATGTGGCTGACGGCCATGGCAGGAGTAGTAATAGCCTGAGCGAGAGAAGAAAGCTTCGTGTGAGGACACAGCACACCACGGCTGCAGACAGCGCCCCCATTACACACCACTTCCACCGAATGTCCCACTGCTATTTTCATACCAGGTTTATTGATACATAAATACACACAGTATAAAGTCTGCAGAGAGACAGACAGAGATCTTCCATTCACTGCCTCTCTCCTCAAATGCCCGCAACACCTCGCGCTGGGCCAGGCAGAGGCCAGGAGCCTGGCACCCAGTCTGGCTCTCTCAAGGGGTGGCAGGAACTCATTTACTGGAGCCAGCACCTCCCAGAGTGCCATTAGCAGGAGACTGGAATTAGGAGTGGAGCCAGGACTGAGCCCAGGTACTCCACTGAGGGTATGCACACAGCCCAAGCACCAAACACCCAGCCCAAGATTTACCCTTCTAACGTATACTACTCTGGGACAGGGACTGTGGTCAGCGGGCTAAGGCACCACTTACAACGCCTACGTCCCATACCACAGCACTGGTTCAAGTCCTGGCCATTCCATTTCTGGCCCAACACACTTGGGAAGGCAGTGGGTGATGGTCCAAATACTTGGGTTCCTGGCTCCTGACTTCGTCCTGGCCCAGTCCTGGCTGTTGAGGACATGTGAATGCACTATGTTCTACGGCTGCTTGACTTCAGGGCGTTTTCATACCCCCTGTTCAGAAGAATCATCTCCCATTCCTTCCAGCTTCAGCCCACCCCCACCCCCACTGTCCTTCGTGTCTCTGTGGATTCGCCTATTCTGGTGCCTCATGGATAGGGCACCAGGCAGCGTGTGGTCTGGTGCCCGGTTTCTTCCAGGCCCACCCTCGCTGCGGCAAGGATGGGCCCTTCCTTCCTGCGCCTGGTTAAATAGCACGCCACTGTGTGTCTATGCCACACTGTTTTAGGCACTCCTCAGCTGATGGGCATTTGGGCTCGTCCCACCTTTTGCCCACTAGGAATAAAGCCACTATGAACACAGCATATACAAACGCCTTCATCTCTCTCGGGCAGATCCTAGGGGGCGAAATATCTGGGCCACATAGAACGGATGCTTAAAAGTTTTGAGGAACTGCTGAATTGTTTTCCAAAGCAAAAGTTCCTACAGTGGCATCAGTAATCACAAGGGTTCTAAATTCGCCACATCCTCAGCCATACTTACACTTGCCATTGGCTGTCTTCACAATTTTTAGACCCCCTGGTCCAAGGTATGAGACACTGGTTCTGACCTGCATTTCCATGACGATAGATGGTGAATGCCCTTTTGTGTGCTTACGATGGCCATCTATCTACCTGCTCTGCAGAAACGCCGATTCAAATCCATTGCCCATTTCCAAATTTTACTCTTTCTAGTGTTGACGTGTAAGAGGCCTTTACATACTCTGGATTCTAGTCCCTTCTCAGCTATGTGTCTGCAAAGATCTCCACCCATTCTGGGACTAGGAACTAATAACTGGGTTCACCTCAGGAGGGTACGAGAAGACGGAGCTACTTTTACACTCTACCTTACACAGCGCTGTAGGATCTAAGAACATCCTTCAGGAATGGTTTCTAAAGCTACAATCAGGATCACTTCCGGAGATCAGGGTGCTATCACCATCGACAACTGCAGGCATATCCCTAAACCACAGCTGCGTGAGGTGGACGGACACGAGACAAACTCACCACCTGGCCACAGCTGAGGACTAAGTATGATTTCAGGTAACAGGATTCTGTCCATACACATCAAAGGTGCTTTGTTCTTAGCATTTTAACTATCTGAGCCGGAAACATTTCCCAAGCACACTGCATCACACTCTCTTCCTGCTTTTCAATGTCCACATCCCCCTGACGTCTCCAGATCAACAGCCTGTTTGGGTTACAGTTTTGGACTGAATGTGATAATACATTCATTAGCTCTATATAATGTTTCTGCCATTTTCTGAACACACGACCGTAACTTGAAGAGAAGGCAGCCTGAAGATTTAACCCGACTAGACGCACCCTACAAGGACTCCACCCCAGGCCCTGGGCAGTTCTCCTCTGTTACTCCCCGGAACACTGCTCACAGCCACGGTGTGTATACAGTGTGCATACTGAGTGTCACGTGGGAGTGCCCCAACCCAGCAGGGAGCACTCTGCAGGTCACCTGTTTAACACACATTGTGAATTAACACGAGCTGACAAATGTCTGCCCAATTTATCCCAGCACATTAACATTCATCTTTTTCAGTAAACCTCCAGAATATTCCACGTTTCATCACGCAGACACAGTCAAGGTGGGTGTGCTCTGTAACACCCTCTGAATCGTGAACCATGAGAACACTTTATACACTTCAGCAGACAAAACCTAACACAGCACCGCCCATGGTTTTAGGACAACACTTTAGCGATGACTCAGTCCGACCTCTCCCCTGCGTGCAGAGGGGTCTGCGAGGAGACTGTAACGTACCCAAGTGAGCTGGGGTGGAGGCAGTGCAGCCTTGACCAGCATCCACTCATCACACCGCCCCCCAGCACGTGGTGCCAGCCAGCACCATTCCCAGGCCCACAGGGGCCTCCCACTCGGAGGCCCCCCCACTGTGAACCTGAGGGTCAAGGCAGGCTCAGGGACGCAGGGGTGATTACCTGTTCGTAGAAGTAGAGCGCTCTTTCGAAGTTCTTCAGCCCCGTGTAGATCATGCCTCCATAGTAATAGTAACATAAGAAGTGCTTCGCATCATAGGCTCCGTTCTCTTTACAAATGTCCATCATGTCCACGTCAAGATACGGAAGGGCAGGTTTAAAGCATTTTGCCAGCAAACAAAGCTGTGAACAATTTGTATTAAGTCATGATTTTAGGTTGGCAGGCTTTAGCAGAAGGAAGACACAGATTCTAGAAACTCCAAGAAAATGTTATTTTGTTTCCTACTTTACTGACAGAAATTACCTAAATGGCAACACACGACTCCACTTTCTTAACAGAGAATAAAATAGCATCTTAAAAACAACTAATCAGTGTAAGGCAGGGCAGGCCTGAACGGAAAATAGATGAACAGAAAATAGAGAGCTACACAGATAAGGCTCGGTTATTGCTTAGAAACCCATCCAACCACGCGCATCTTTACAGACGGGCAAACGGGTATCCTGTTCTCTTCACTGAGCTGGTGGAACAGAAACACGCCTGCATGATGGGACTAAGACAGAAGCTTTTGCTTCTATTGATCCTTCTCAACTTTGTGATAAATTATTATTTGTTGGGGTGGGTGCTGTGGTGCAGCGGGTTATGCCACTGCCCGGGATGCTGGCATCCCATACCAGAGTGCCTGGTTTGAGTCTTGGCTACTTCACTCCCAACCCAACTTCCTGCTGACACATCCTGGGAGGCAGCAAACGATGGCTCAAGTGCTTGCACTCCTACCACCTGTGTGGGAGACCCAGACAGAGTTCTGGGCTGCTGGCTTCAGCTGAGCCCAGCCCTGGCTATCTGAGGCATTTGGGGAGTGAATCAACATATGGAGATCTGTCTCTCTGTCCCTTTCTCTGTCACTCTCCCTTTCAAGTAGATGAAAAGAAACATTGAAAATAAATTATTTATTTGTCTGAAAGGCAGACAGACAGAGACACAGAGCTCTCCCATCCGTTAGTTCACTCCCCAAATGTCTGCAATGCCCAGGGCTGGGCCAGGCCGAAGCCAGAGGCCTGGAACTCAAGCTGGCTCCTGACGTGGACAGCAGAGACCCAAGACTTGAGCCCTCACCTCTGAGGGTGTGCATCAGCAGGAAGCTGGAACCAGAAGCAGAGTGGGACTATAACCCCGGCACCCCAAGCAGCATCGAAACCACCGTGCCAAATGCCCATGCCGTTTTGAATTCTGCATCCTTCAGGTACACGCAGGAACTTCTGCAGGCACACATACATCCAGTGGTGAGAGCAGACATGCGTACACTCACCAAGCTGCAGGTGTGAGGTCAGGGCTTACTGTGTGCAATCACATTTTTTTAAACAGAGTAAAAAAAAATAAAGGAAAGCGTAACTTCACATGGCTGTAACATATGTTTGAAACAACCCGTGTATCATGAAATACCCACTACAGACTGGTTAAACCCTGGTACACCTGTATTATGGGACACTCCACAACTATAAAGCACAGCTGTGGAAATGTCTCCAAGATACATTACACGGCAAAAAACAAGGTACACCCTCCCTGCCCCCATCACTCTGCCTTTTCCAATACATAATCTTTAAAAAAAAAAAAAAAAAAAAGGTTGGGCCAGCGCTGTGGCGCAGAGGGTTAATGGCCTGGCCTGAAGTGCCAGCATCCCATATGGGCGCCGGTTCTAGTCCCGGCTGCTCCACTTCCGATCCAGCTCTCTGCTATGGCCTGGGAAAGCAGCAGAAGATTGCCCAAGTCGTTGGGCCCCTGCACCTGCATGGGAGACCTGGAAGAAGCTCCTGGCTCCTGACTTTGGATCGGCGCAGTTCCAGCCATCATGGCCATCTGGGGAGTGAACCATCGGATTGGAAGATCTCTCTCTCTCTCTCTCTCTCTCTCTCTCTCTCTGTGTAAAGCTGACTCTCAAGTGAAAAATAAATAAATCTTTAAAAAAAAAAAAAAAAAAAAAAAAAAAAAAGGTCCACATGAGCTTGTACAGCCTGTCAGACAGAATCCGTGTAGAAAAAGATACGGCCGCATTTGCTTGTATGGGCATCAAGTGTCTCTGGAGGGACACGCAGCAGCAGCCAGCGCGAGTTTCCTGAACACAGAAGCAGCCGGCGAGAGTGGTAGGCAGTCTTCATCACATCGCCTCCCTCTGCCCTCTCGACTTTGAACCGTGCAAAGTAAGATTCACGGGGCTCATTTAGGTGCAGGAGTTACCAGTGTATATGGTCAGTTCCCACAATTTCCCTAAAAGAAAATTACTTGGGGTTTTGTCTTCAACCACTACGCCACCAATTACCCTGTTGGGGGACCAGCGTGCTAGCCGGGCCCCAGCCTGTCCTCTGCGTCCGGCACACCCTGCCAACGTGACAGATGCGCCTGGGAATCTCAGCTTCTCCAGCAGAGAAACATCCCACCAAACTGCCTCATCACCAGCCCGGGCGCCGCGAGGCGTGCGGCCCACCCGCGGCTGCTCACCTGGCAGAGGTCGGCGTGGATGGAGGTCAGCTGGTTCGTGTTCATCTGCATCTTGTCGATGGCTTGCTTAAGGATGCCAATTCCTCGCAGGGGCTGTCAGAAACGACATCGCTTTCAGACAAGTTCTCAAAGATGGCAGCACATTGGATCTTAGGTTGGCACTTACAAATAAAAAACAACACTAATTGAAAGGTTCCTTTGAGCAGCCACTGGAGGTTCCCGCATCCTCTCAGGAAATCTCTTGCCCCCATTTCAGTCAGAAAAACACCATCTCGGTTTGTTTCTTGGAAAATACAGGTAATTCAGCTCCAATTCTGACATCAAATGCTGTTCACTTTATACCACAACAAAAACGTCCGTGTCACTGACAGTAGGTGAAGGCCTGTGGCTCAGGTGCCCACAGTGCTGGCATGTCGTCTGGGGCAGCCTAGCCCTGACCCACAGCAAGCTACCACCGGCTACAAACAGGCTGTCTCCTGCCCCGAGTGACCAGAGCAGGCTTCAAGTGAGGCACGGTCCGTTTCTGAACCAAAGACGACATCCTACGACAGTCACCTGACTTCTCTGGCTTTTCCAATAAAGATTTTTTTTAAAGCCATCTCTTTCAAAGAGTTTAGTTAGTACGCCTACAAAAGAGCCACCAGTTCTGTTTCTTTTTTTTTTTTTTTTTTTTTTTTTTTTTTTTTGACAGGCAGAGTGGACAGTGAGAGAGAGAGAGACAGAGAGAAAGGTCTTCCTTTTTGCCGTTGGTTCACCCTCCAATGGCCGCCGCGGCTGGCGCGCTGCGGCCAGCGCACCGCGCTGATCCGATGGCAGGAGCCAGGAGCCAGGTGCTTTTCCTGGTCTCCCATGGGGTGCAGGGCCCAAGCACCTGGGCCATCCTCCACTGCACTCCCTGGCCACAGCAGAGGGCTGGCCTGGAAGAGGGGCAACCGGGACAGAATCCGGAGCCCCGACCGGGACTAGAACCCAGTGTGCCGGCGCCGCTAGGCGGAGGATTAGCCTAGTGAGCCACGGCGCCGGCTACCAGTTCTGTTTCTAACCTTCTCCAAACCACTTATCATGAAACTCATTTCCAAATTATAACTCCTGTCAGCATCACCAAAGATAAAGGCCAGAGAGCCATCCCGGATTCAAGGAGGCTACAGACGCAGTGACAGAAGGCGAGAGAGAGCCAAGGCTTTCTGTTGTTAGAAACGACACCAGCTGGGCCGGCGCTGTGGTGTACCAGGTTAAGCCACCTGCAATGTCAGTGTCTCAAATGGGCACCAGCTCGTGTCCCAGCAGCTCCACTTCCAATCCAGCTGCCGGGAAAGGCAGCAAATGACAGCCCAAGCGTTTGGGTCCCTGCACCCATGTGGGAGACCAGGATGAAGCTCCTCACACCAGGCTTCTGCCTGGCCCAGCCATAGCTTTTGCAGCCATCTGGGGAGTGAACCAGTGGATGAAAGATTCTTTCTCTCTCTGTAACTCTTTCAAATAAATAAATCTTCTAAAAAAGGTGGGGGCAGTGCTGTGGTGTAGCAGGAAAATCCTCTGCCTGCAGTGCCACCATCACATATGGACACTGGTTCAAGTCCCAACTGCTCCACTTCCAATCCAGCTCTCTGTTATGGCTTGGGAAAGCAGTAGAAGATGGCCCAAGTCCTTGGGCCCCTGCACCTGCGTGGGAGACCCGGAAGAAGCTCCTGGCTCCTGGCTTCAGATTGGCCCAGCTGCAGCCGTTGTGGCCACTTGGGGAGTGAACCAGTGGATGGAAGACCTCTCTCTCTCTCTGCCTCTCTAACAAAATAAACAAATTACAAAAAAAAAAAAAAAAAAAAAAAAAAAAAAACAGTGCTAAAAAAAAGGCGCCAGCTGAGCTGCTGGCAACATCTGACCGAGACCTGCAGGTCTGTCCAAGCAGTGCAGCAGTGGCCGTCCCTGAGTGTCGGCCAGTGTACTGTGCCGGGAGAGAACGGCCTGATTCTCGGTAGGCACTCACTGCCGGCTTCAGGGATAAGCGACAGCACTCCTGCAATTTCCTTCCCAACAGTTCATGGGGTGGAGGGGGGAGAGAATAATAAGTGTGGTAAATAAAATGCTAACATCTGGAGAGTCTGGATGAAGCATACACGGGAATTCCTGTACTATTCTTGCAGCTTTTTGGAAGGTTCCAATTAAGTCATAATTAAAAGCTGGAAGAAAAAAAAAAAACACTAAGCATAAACCAGCATTATAACACAAAGGGGCACTAGCCGGGAGTTCCAGAAAGAATCACCCCAGTGTCCTCGCGGAGGCCCCACGTCTCCCTGAGCCTCTGAGCACCTCTCACCACAGGGGCTGGCTGTCCCCGCTGCCAAGGCCGTGCGGACCCTCAGCGACCACACGCGGCCAGTGTTGGGCTGCGTGGCGCTGACCTCGAGTCTAACAGACCCAGCTCACCGCCTACGGCAGACACATTTATGACAGAACCATGACTGCGCGAGTGACATTTCTTACCTGCTTTCTTTCCACGAGTGCATTTGTGAGCTGATGGCAAAGGCCGGCAACTAGACAGAACGATAAAAAACACACACACACACACAAAAATATGGAAGATATCAATAACCAGAAAGGGAAAATGCACTCAGCAAAAAGCAGGTGTTACCAGCTTACAAGTGTCGGTTGCGTAGCGAATGTGCTCGCCGTTACAAGTACTGATGAAGAGCTGGACCTGGGAGAACAGCGTCTCGAAGTCGGGGACGCTGGGCATAGAAAACTTCACAAACCTAGGAGAAGCAGAAAAGAATCCAATTCCCCTGATGTCGCACGGGGTACTCATGCCAGGGGCTCATCCTGCCTCCAACACGGGCAAACTAAAGGGGCAATGGTGCGTTTTAAAACGAAGAACCAGAATCCACGGATTCTCCTGGCCTGGTTCTCGTGTATGACCCGACACAGACACAGACACGTACAGCAGGAGTTAAGAAAATACACTAAAAACGAAGAACTTTCAAGACAGAAGCCTCCAGAAATGAGGTCAAACATCAGGTTACTTCTGAAGGAGCCTTAAAATATTTATTTATTTGTTTGTTTGTTTGTTTATTTATTGGAAAGGCAGAGTGAGGGAGACAGAAAGAGATCAATCTTCCATCTGCTGGTTCGCTCCCTAAATGGCTGCAACAGCCAGGGCTGAGCCAGACGCCTTCTCCGGGGCTCCCACGTGAGTGCAGGAGCCCAAGCACTTGGGCCACCTTCTGCTGCTTTCCCAGGCCACAGCAGGGAGCTGGACTGGAAGTGGAGCAGCCGGGACTTAGACAGGAACCCATATGTGATGCTGGCGTCGCTGGTGGTGGCTTCACCCACTGCGCCACAATGCCGGTCCCTTGTGGAGAATCTTTTAACCAAAAACGTCTTCATATTGTCTTCTGTGCTCCAGTGTGGCAAGGACCATTCGCTCACTAAACTGACCCAGCAGTTCCAACTGCCGGGGTACCCACATGCCGTATCAGAGTGCCTGAGGCTGAGCCCCACCTCCATTTCTGATTCGTTTCCTGCTGATGTGCACCCTGGGGGCAGCACCCACGGCTCAGGTAGTTGAGTTCCTGCCCCCACATGGGAGACCTGGATTGAATTCCTGGCCCCCAGCTTTGGCCTGGCCCTGCCCCAGCTATTGCAGGCATTCAGGAAGTAAATGAGCAGATGGCAGTTCTCTGTTTCTGACTTTCAAACTAATTAATTAATTAAAAATCAGTTGCTGGGGCCGGCGCCGCGGCTCAATAGGCTAATCCTCCGCCTAGCGGCGCCGGCACACCGGGTTCTAGTCCCGGTCGGGGCGCCGGATTCTGTCCCGGTTGCCCCTCTTCCAGGCCAGCCCTCTGCTGTGGCCCGGGAGTGCAGTGGAGGATGGCCCAGGTGCTTGGGCCCTGCACCCCATGGGAGACCAGGAAAAGCACCTGGCTCCTGGCTCCTGCCATCGGATCAGCGCGGTGCGCCGGCCGCAGCGCGCCGGCCGCGGCGGCCATTGGAGGGTGAACCAACGGCAAAGGAAGACCTTTCTCTCTGTCTCTCTCTCTCACTGTCCACTCTGCCTGTCAAAAAAAAAAAAAAAAAAAAAAAAATCAGTTGCTGGGGCTGGCACTGTGACATAGCAGGTAAATCCACCACCTGCAGTACTGGTGTGCCATATGGAAGCCAGTTCAAGTCCTGGATGCTACATTTTTGATCCAGCTCCCTGCTAATGGCCTGGGAAAGCAGTGGAAGATGGCCCAGCTGCCTGAGCCCCTGCACCCACGTGGGAGACCCAGATGAAGCTCCTGGGTTCGGGCTGGCCCAGCCCTGGCTGTTGCAGCCAGTTGGGGAGTGAACCAGTGGATGGAAGACCTCTCTGAATCTCTCTGCCTCTGCTTCTCTGTAACTCTGCCTCTCTCAAATAAATAAACCAATGGAAACCAAAACAAACAAATAAAGTCGCTGCTGTTCCCAATTTTTGGAGACCGTACTGAAGGGGACAAGGAACAAGAGCTGTGGGCTGGCCGGAGGCTGAGGCAGGCTCAGAACTCGGAAAAAGCTGTGGCTCCACTTTGTCTGGAAGGAAGCCCAACAGAACCGGCTGACGGCAGCATAGGAGGGAGAGGGGTGTGAGGAGGAGGACGAGAGCTGAGCTGAGCTGTGCCGGGCACCTTGGCAGCCGATGGAGCCATCACTACCACGAGAAATGTTCCAAGAGGCCTGGAGAAATCATATGCGCTACCACCACTAGGCCACTGCTGGTAAGGACACGCCAAGCTCTTCTTCTCCTGAGACTACTTTCAAGGAAATCGAGGCGGATGATAGGACTGCCTACTTAGGACTCTGCGCAGCACTCCCTGACCGCGCAGGACCCCTGCAGTAACGTCCTGAGTGATGGCAACGTGCCAGCAAGAACTTCCCTAGGGATTCACGCAGCTCAGTGAGGCACGGCGGCCCCCGCCTCAGCCCCGGCCACAGGCTTGCCTTCTTCCCTCGTGTTACCCAAGGTAACCGCTACGCGTCAGGGTGCTTGCAGGTACATGCCCTCTGCCCTCCACACGGGAGTATGTGCACGTACAAAACACACGTGCCAGCCCCTCTGTCATGTGAAAAAGAAAACACGGGCCACAGAAACCTCTATTGGCACTCCCCACAGCACCATCTGCCGCCGGCGGATGGCCGGACACCCTCACTGGTGCACAGAGCTGCCTGTGGCTGCAGAGGACCCGAAGGTGGCAGGTGCACCCACACAACTGGATCGTCACCCTCCTCCCAAGATCCCAACTGAGCATGACACAGCACCAAGAGAAGAGGCTTACAGCATAGGGCGGTTAAGGAGCCCCTGCTAAAACCAAGCCTACGCCACCCGGTCTTAAGGGCCCACGCTCGGGTGAACAGACACAGGGTGCCTCTGTCTGGGGTCACCAACAGCTTCACGAAACATGGCCCACCATGGCCCATCGCTCCCTGTTCCCTTCCAAGTTAGAAAATGGGGACGACCCTGCGGACTGCGTGAATAAAAGCGCTCACTACAGAACCCAGAACTGACAGCCATTTAGACAAAATGTGAAAATAAAATTAAATTAAACAGGGAAGACAAAAACGAAATATCAGGCGCAGCGATCAGCGGAGGCAGTAACACGTAATTCCTCGGACACAACGTCCCCTTGCCCGGGGCCCGGGGCCGGCACGTGGAGGTGCGGCTCTCCCAAGCACGAAGCCGCAGGAGGGGCCCTTACAGGACGGCGAGGACGCCCAGCGAGTGCTCCTGCACGTCCAGGGCCCCGAGCACAGTGTCCAGGTGCGATAAGTTCTTCGCAAGGAGCTCCCCGCTCTTGTTGATCAGTTCACAGAGCTGAGTCATTTGCCCTGGAAAACAGGAAGAGTTCATCATCAGTCAGGCACAGGCGAACTGAAGGAGCTCAAGCCAGTCTCGGAGCTCCAGCACCAGGACAGGACGTCTTACACATCTCCTCCACTGCGGACCGGGGCTGGGGGGGCGGGGGGGACACGAGGGGGAACAGCTGCCGATGGTCTCGGAACTAGAGCTGACACCAAACCTCCACTTCCCTGTGGCCCCGCAAAGTGCCTCCTCGGCCCCCTTTCTAGTCCCCCAGGCCAGAGACACACACACTGCTTCAGCACCTCTCTGCGCCCCAAAGGTCACCACATACAATTTAATGGACTCCAGTTCCTCAGCTCCATCTCCCTCTCCCTGCCCCGCCCACCTTGTCCCTGCATTTAATGCAGATTTGCATCATCTCCTGCTTGGACTACATCATTAATTCACTTCAATCTTTTTCTCTTCCAACCGATACCCCATATTGGTTCTCCTGGGTGTTTTGTTTTGTTTTGTTTAAGATTTGTTTATTTTGAGAGTCAGAAGAGGGAGAGATCTACCTGCGGATTTACTCCTTAGATGGCCACAATGGCCAGGGCTGGGCCAGGCCACAGCCAGGAGCCTCATCTGGGTCTCCACGTGGGTGGCAGGGACTCAGACTGCTTTTCCCAGGCCAACGGCAGGGAGCTGGATCGGAAGTGGAGCAGCCAGGACACAAACCAGCACCCATAAGCACTGCAGGCAGTAGCCTCACCCACTATGCCACGACGCTGGCCACTGTCTGATCTTTCTAAAGCACAATTCAGTCACATTACGCCAGTGGCTTTAAGAAGCCCAAACTGGGGCAGGTGCTGTAGTGCAGCAGGTTAAGTTGCTGCTTGGGACATCTGCATCCCCTGTTGGAGTGCTGGTTCGAGTCCCGGCCACTCTCCACGAACTGATCCAGGCCCCTGCTAAAATACATGGGAGGCAACAGATGGGGGCCCAAGCACTTGAGTTCCTACCACCCCTGCACCCGTTTGGGAGACCTGGATGGGATTCCTGGCTCTTGGCTTCGACCTGGCCCAGACCTGGCTGTTGTAGACATTTGGGGAGCGAACCAACAGCCAGAAGATCTCTGTTTCTGTGGGTGTCTCTCTCTGTCAACTCTGTCTTCCAAATAAATAAATCTTTTTTTTTTTTAAAAAAAAGGCAGTCCAAATGCCCCAGACTGCCTCACCCACCTCCTTCTACTTCACCGACGCTCAGAAAGCCCAGAGTCCATGCTCAGTCTGTGCACACGTGTGGGTCTCCACCTCTTGCCCCCACACCCTCTGCGACCTGTCCAACGGCTGTGACCTCAACCCTCTCTCCTGTTAGTGGGTGGCTGTTCTCTGCTACCTCACGGGCTGGCGGTAGTCAGTCACTTGGAGCAACCCAGGGGGGGGACACTGTCCCGTTTCCTCCAGCGTCAGAAGGCAGCACCGCTTACCAGCTTGTGAATTAAGCTGCTACTTCATCCATCCATCTGTCCCCCACTCCACTACGCTGTGTTAACAGCTACAGAAGCCAAGGAGGCCTGCACCGGCACTTTAGTAAGGCAGACCCATAGATTTTGACAAGTATTTTTTTTTTCAAGATTTGTTTTATGTATTTGAAAGGCAGAATGAGAGAGAAAGAGAGAGAGATCTTCCACTTGCTGGTTCACTCCCCAAATGGCTGCAACAGCCAGAGCTGGGCCAGGCCAAAGCCAGGAGCCAGGAGCTTCCTCTGGGTCTCCCACGTGGGTGCAGGGACCCAAGGACTTGGGCCATCCTCCACTGCTTTCCCAGGCCAGAGCAGAGAGCTGGATCGGAAGTGGAGCAGCTGGGACACACACCAGCACCTATATGGGATGCTGGATCTGCAGGCAGCGGCTTAACCCACTGTGCCCCAAAGTCCACCCCTTAATGGTTATTTTTATGGCGCCCTGGCCACACTCTGTCTCTCTGGTGGTGGTGGTAGGCGTATAATAATTCCAAGCACATTAACTTCAAGTCTCCTGCTCCGGTATGTCTATACTGTAGCTGGGTCTTTTTCCCATTTTTAAAAAAACACTTAAAATAACAGAAAGCCTGAAACCCAGCAACTGCAATAGGGTATTTGATCATTTAATTCCGGGGGCTTCTGGGCCAGGGCACTTTTTTTTTTTTTTTTTTTTTTGACAGGCAGAGTGGACAGTGAGAGAGAGAGACGGAGAGAAAGGTCTTCCTTTGCCGTTGGTTCACCCTCCAATGGCCGCCGTGGCCGGCGCACTGCAACCGGCGCACCGCGCTGATCCGATGGCAGGAGCCAGGAGCCAGGTGCTTTTCCTGGTCTCCCATGGGGTGCAGGGCCCAAGCACGTGGGCCATCCTCCACTGCACTCCTGGGCCACAGCAGAGAGCTGGACAGGAAGAGGAGCAACCAGGACAGAATCTGGCGCCCCGACCGGGACTAGAACCCGGGGTGTCGGCGCCGCAAGGCGGAGGATTAGCCTAGTGAGCCGCAGCGCCGGCCGGGCCAGGACGCTTTTATACTGAGTAAGTTGACCAAAAACAAAGTTAGTATCCCATCACTACCACACGTGCTTGCAAACCCAGAGCGAACAAACAGCTGCCATCCTGCAGGGCATCACCTCCAGACGGCACAGGCTGGGCGGGGAAGACCTCGCTGGTCGGGGGGAAAGGGCTCCTTCCACGTGAACAGCTGGCCGTGGTGGGCGCTCACAGCTGGAAACTCAGTCACAGCGGTCCGGGACACGCTGGGTGCCACGAATCACTGCTGGGGCCGCGGGGAGAGCCCCGAGCCCCGAGTACGGAGGCTTAGGCGCCACGGCGCGCACCCGAGCCGTGTCCGGCCACAGATGCGGCCTCCCGACAGAAAAGCAGGAACTTCCCGCGTTCCTTTCAAGGAAGGTCCGAGTCAGGTCACCCACATTTCCCTCTGCCTGGCACACGGGGCCGCCTCCCCCCAGCCCCACCCCAGGCGCCCATGCAAGGTTCTAGCTGTGTCTAAAAAAAAAGCCTGAAGAGGTTAACGGTGGCTCGTCCAAGGTCACGCAGCTCCTGAGAACCTGCACCTAACGGCTACCGGCAATCACTCGCAGCTGCATTTACTGCACCCTCTCCCCCAGGTCCCGACTGCTCCCACGGGGGTCCTCTCCATCCACCCTCACAACGGGACTCGCACAGGGTCGTCACGGCCAGCATCTAACTGCTCTAACCCCGAGCCCTGCTGTCTCAGACGCTGACATGAACCAACGTGAAAGAACAAAACATCGGGAGAGCAACCCCACGCCTCGAAATGCAGCCCTACGAGCGCGAGCTCCCTCGGCATGCCGTGGGACCAAAATAAGCGCAGAGGCTCCCGAGCCTGCGCCGGCCAAGGCGAGCCCGGCAGCCAAGGCGCCCGGGAAGAACTCGCCTCCCGCCGGCTCCCCGAGGCCTAGCCTGGAGGCGACCCAGCGCCGCGGAGACCGGCAGGGCGCTGCGCCAATCACCGAAGGCACGGGAGGCCCCCGGGAGCCAATGGGCGCTCGGGAAGGCGACAGCGGAAGTCCCGCCCCCAAACTGTCAAGCGGAGCACCCGGTGGAAAAAGGGGCCCCGGGCCGAAGGGGAGGAAGGGGCCCGGCCGCTCGAGGGCAGGGAGGCCGGCGGGCGGGGACAACGGCGCTCCAAAGCACGAGGGCCCCGGCCACATTCGGCCGCGCTCGCCCGGCCCCGGGGAAGCAGCAGCTTGGGACTCAATGGGCGGTCCCTGCCGTCCGCGCTGGCGCCTGTGGATGCAGGGCCCGTCCCCCGTGCCCGCCCACACCCTCCCTGCCCCGCAGCCCGGGCCCTCACCTTGAGCCGAGAGCTGCCGGACGCTGTTCACGAACTGCTCCAGGGCAGACGCCATGTTTCCCCCGGGGCGGCCCGAGCGGCGCAGGCAGCTCGCGCGGGAAAAGGCGGCCGCGATCCAGCAGAGGGCCTCGAGTGTGGCTACGTCACTTCCGCCGGTACAAGCATCGCGAGAGCTCCCCACGCCGGGAGCCTGTTGCCGTTTCCATGGAAACACTTCTGTGCCCTGTCGAAGCGCCGGAAGTTCGCTTCTCTCTGTGCATCTGTGAAACCCCTCCCTCCCCCCCGCTTTAAATGGAGGTGGGGAGCGCTGGTTTTCCAGTCTCCGTTTTGCCAGATCCTTCGCAGGGAGATTGCCAAGGCTTTTGCTTGTGAGGTGATAAAGACTCACGCAGACTCTGGAGCTAGGCAGTCTGGGTTTAGGCCTGGGGAAGCTGTGTCTGCGCAAGCTTCTTTATTTGATAGGCAGAGTTACAGAGAGAGAGAGAGATCTTCCATCTGCTGGTTCACTCCCTAAATGGCCGCAACAGCCGGAACTGGGCTGACTCCAAGCCAGAAGCCAAGAGCTTCTTCTGGGGCGGCCCCAAGCACTTGGGCCATCTTCTACTGCTTTCCCAGGTGCATTAGCAGAGTACTGCTCTGGATCAGAAAGGGAGTAGCCGGATCTCGAACCGGTGCCCATATGGGATGTGGGTGCTGCAGGCAAAGGCTTGATCTATTATGCCACAGCCCCGCCTGGAGCAAGTTCTGTGCTTTCACTGGCCTCTCCCCCCTGCACTTTGGTTCCCGTCTTGCAGTCACTTCTGCTGGGGAAATTTCCCTCCACTGTCCATACTGTCGTCAGCGTCCAGGTCTCGAGGTCAAACGTTCTTGCTTCTCTCAGGTCCCTCTGAAGAGCCTTACATTGGACAGCGGGACGTTTTAAAACTGCATCCCGGGGCCGGCGCCATGGTGCAGTAGGTTAATCCTCCACCTGCAGCGCCGGCATCCCACATGGGCACTGGTTCTAGTCCTGGTTGCTCCTCTTCCAGTCCAGCTCTCTGCTGTGGCCTGGGAAAGCAATGGAGGATGGCCCAGGTCCTTGGGCCCCTGCACCTGCATGAGAAACCTGGAGGAGGCATCTGGCTCCTGGCTTCAGATCAGCGCAGCTCCGGCCGTTGCGGCCATCTGGGGAGTGAACCAATGGAAGGAAGACCTTTCTCTCTGTCTCTACCTCTCACTGTAAAACAAACAAACAAACCAAAAAAAAAAAAAAAAAAAAACTGCATCCCACAACTATTTATTGAGCTCCTGCCGGAACACTCCGGGTCTTTCTGTAGAAAATGAGTTCGTAAAGACCCTAGCAAACAGGGCTGGGTGATCTGAAGGAACAGAGGAAACCAGGGACTGGCCTGGCATGACAGGGAAGGCTTTCTTGGGTACATGCCACCAGCTGAGCTCTGAAGAAAGAAGAATTAACGCACGGGGAAGGAAGGGGTGTTGCTGAGTGAGAGGACAGCCTGTTCTAAGCCTCTGCCTTGGGAAGGAGCTTGCTGTTTGCAAGGGAGTCGTTGAATGACTGTACCCTGAAATTGTGGTGGACGGCGGGGGTGTAAGGCAGGTCCATCCGGGTCACCCGTATTGGGGGTGAGAAGGGCACAGGGGCGCAAGTACTTGAGCCACCTTGGCTGCTTTCCCAGGTGCATTAGCAGGCAGCTGGATTGGAAGTAGAGCAGCCAGGACTCAAACCGGCGCCCACATGGAAAGCTGGTGCTGCACGTGGCGACTTTACCCACTATGCCACAGCACCAGCCCCTCTCCATGTGCTAACTTCTGAGAGGCAGTTAGGAAACCCTTGCGGTAGTAGACATGGACTGTAATAGTGATGACGGTACCTTGAGTGATTGTATTGCATCTGGACAATTGGAGATGGAACTGAGTTGGTGGATGTGAGATGTATTAAAGGAATGACTTTAACACTTGTGCTGGGGGGGGGGGGGGCTGGCGCTGTGGCGCAGTAAGTTAAGCCTCTGGCTGCAGTGCCGGCATCCCATAAAGGCACAGGTTCTTGTCCCGGCTGCTCCTCTTCCAACCCAGCTCTCTGCTATGGGCTGGGAAAGCAGTGGAAGATGGCCCAAGTGCTTGGGCCCCTGCACCTTCATAGAAGACCTGGAAGAAGCTCCTGGCTTCGAATCAGCTCAGCTTTGGCCGTCGTGGACATCTGGGGAGTGAAACGGCAGATGGACGACCCTTCTCTCTGTTTCTCCCTCTCTCTGTGTGTAGCTCTAACTCTCAAATAAATAAAAAATCATAAAAAAAGGAAACACTTGTACTTGGAGACTGAAGGAATCTGGATGTTCTAGTGCAAACACTGATCCTCAATCTCTGATCAACCTTACAACACCAAAGACAGGTATTTGGATTGCTAGCACACATTTCCATGGGGGTATATGGCCCTCAATACAAACCAAAATATGTTACAGAGAAAGAAAAGGCTATGAGCCCAGTAATCCAAAACAGCCGCAGCTACCAACAGTACCCTGAAATGTGTTGTCTCTTTAGATTGTGGTTGCTGCTCTCAAAATCGGGTTCCCCCACCAGCACCACCTGGGAACTTCCTGGAAATGCAAATTCTTAGACCTCCTGTGGCACAAACTCTGCAGGCAGTACCCAGTCCACTGAACAAACCTTGCAGATAATTGGATGCTCGTTGAAGTGTGACAACGTATGGATTGTGGCCCACGAGTGATCCAACATACAAATCACACTCACTGCGACGCATCTAAGAGTACTGCCAGGGGCCAGCATTGTGGCACAGTGGTTAAGCTGCCGCCTGCAACGCTGGCATCCTATGTGGGCACAGTTTTGAGTCCCGGCTGCTCCACTTCCGATCTAGCCCACTGCACCTGGGAAAGCAGCAGAAGATGGCACAAGTTCTTGGACCCCTGCACCCATGTAGGGGACCCAGATGGAGTTCTAGGCTCCTGGCTTCCACTTGGCCCAGTGCTGGCCGTTGTGGCCATCTGGGGCATGCCAGTGGGGCCAGAGCAAGGAGACGTCTACGTCTCGGTTGAGGATGGCTTGTCCCGCTGTGAAAAATCAAAGCGTCTGCAGATCCAGTGATACCTGCAAGTGCATCACTCAAACACCTTCACCACGTGAGGACCTGAAAGCAGGGGACAGTGGCCCACACTGGCCGTGGAGCTGCCTGGACATCCATGTGCCGCCAAGGAAGCGAGCTGCAGGACTGGGCGTGGCAAGTTGGTGGAGCCACGCTCATGTCCACCATAATGGGTCTCAGACACCGTGTGCATGTGGCGTATGCTGAGGGCATCTGTGTTAAGGATGCTCGCTTGCTCTCTCTCTCTCTCTCTCTCTTCCCTGCTGGGTTGATGAAGGAAGCACACAGCCCCGGGGGCTTCTGGTACCCACCTTGACACCCTGAGGGGAGCAATCTTTAGGGTGAAGCTAATATGAATACCTTCAAAAAGTTATGGGAAAGTAGACTTAAAAGGTAAGTGTAATGTTGGTACCAAAAATGTTAATCCATGCATAGTTCCTTCTTTTTTAATTAACTTTTTAAAAAGATTTATGTATTTATTTACTTGAGAGGCAGAGTGACAGATAGAGGGAGAGACAGGAAGCCTGAGGGGTTCAAGTCGCTTCTGCACAATGGAGTGGTCATTGCCTGTCCCCCTGCACACTTCCTCCTGTGACTGGAGACCTGAGAAAAGTTCATGGCAAAGGTGCATTTTCTTTTAATCCCATTTCTCTAGGAATGTTTCGAGGTACCCTTGTACCTTAAGTGTCTCTAATGATGCCTATAATACATACCCAATACAGGGGCTGGCGTTGTGGTACCGCAGGTAATGCCGCTGCCTGCCATGCTGGCATTCCATATGGACCTAGAGGAAGCTCCGGGCTCCTGGCTTCGGATCGGTGCAGCTCCAGCCACTGTGGTCATAATGTGGGATACCGGCACTGCAGGCGGCAGCTTTACCTGCTGTGCCACAGCGCCAGCAGCTGTGGATGGTTTTTATACTGTGGTGTTGAGGGAGCAGTGACAAGAAAAACCCGTATGTGTTCCGTACAGATGCAGCTGGCTGAATCTGCAGACAGGGAACCAACAGATCCACAGGGCCAATTTAGATCTCAAATACAGAAAGTGCAGAAGAGAGAGTTGGTGGGAAACCAGTCCCACTGTGGCGCTGGGACCCTGGATCCAGTCTCACAGAAGTGGCCAAGAAAGAGCCAACAGATCCCCTTCATTCTGTAAGTCTCCGTAGACTCATCCTGACACAGCCATTTACAAAGCATTGTCCCAGATGGGTCTCTCGGTGACCCAGCAGAGCACCAGTCTGAGTCCCGGCCACTCTGCTAAGGCCCAGTGCCTTTTTTTTTTTTTTTTTTTTTTTGACAGGCAGAGTGGACAGTGAGAGAGACAGAGAGAAAGGTCTTCCTTTGCCGTTGGTTCACCCTCCAATGGCTGCCACTGCCGGCGCGCTGCGGCCGGCGCACCGCGCTGATCCTAAGGCAGGAGCCAGGTACTTCTCCTGGTCTCCCATAGGGTACAGGGCCCAAGCACTTGGGCCATCCTCCACTGCACTCCCAGGCCACAGCAGAGAGCTGGCCTGGAAGAGGGGCAACCGGGACAGAACCCGGCGCCCCAACAGGGACTAGAACCTGGTGTGCCGGCACCGCTAGGCAGAGGATTAGCCTGTTGAGCCATGGCGCTGGAGGCCCAGTGTCTTAAGTTACCATGTGAGATGCTTGCATCCCATATTGGAGTGCCTGGTTCGAGTCCCAGCTCCTCCACTTGCCATCCAGCCTCCTGCTAACACACACCCTGGGAGGCAGCAGATGATGTCTCAAGTTCTTGGGCTCCTGCCACCCACAGGGGAGACCCAGATGGAGTTCCAGGGCTCCTGATATTGGCCTGGCCCAGCCCGGGTGGTTGAGGGATTTGGGGAGTGAACCAGCAGATGGAAGTTTCTCTCTCTCTCTCTCTCTGCCTTTCAAATAAATACAAAATGAATTTATAAAATGGCTACAATGGTAAACTTTATGTTATATATATTCTGTTTTTAAAGGTCAACTCGAACCTAAATCTCAAATCTTATTTAAAAATTAACTCAATAGATCTAAATGCAAAATGTAAAACCATATGCTTTGAAACAAGACATCTTTTTTTAAGGATTTATTTATTTGAAAGGCAGAGTTACAGAGAGTCAGAGACAGAGAGAGAGAGAGAGAGAGAGAGAGGTCTTCTATGAGCTGGTTCATTCCCCCCGACGGATGCAACAGTTGGAGCTGCACCCATATGAAGCCAGGAACCAGAAGCCTCTTCCAGGTCTCCCAACAGGTGCAGGGGCCCCAGGACTTGGGCCATCTTCTACCGTTTTCCCAGGCCATAGCAGAGAGCTGGACTGGAAGAGGAGCAGCCAGGACTCGAACTGGCGCCCATGTGGGAAGCCAGGCTGCAGGCGGAGGATTAACCTACTGTGCCGCCGCACCAGCCCGGAAACAAAACACCTCGTGACTTTGGCTTAGGCAGAACGTTTTCAGCTCTGACAGCAGAGTGTGATTTCACAGCAGCATCGGTCAGTCGGACGTCACAGAGCTGTTCTCACAGAGACATTAGAACGAAAAAACAAAACTGAGAAAAAAAAAATTGTGAGTCACAATCAGATGAAAGACACACATCCGGAATAGTAAGAAGACCTAAAATGCAACAGGGAGGCAAAACGAACAACCTGAAAAATATATTTTTCTTTATTTTTTTAAGATTTATTTTATTTTATTTTATTTATTTAAAGACAGACTTATGGAGAGAGGTAGAGCCAGAGAGAGAGGTCTTCCATCCACTGATTCATTCCACAGATGACCATAACGGCCAGAGCTAAGCTGATCCGAAGGCAGGAGCCAGGTGCTTCTCCTGGTCTCCATGCGGGTGCAGGGTCCAAGCACCTGGGCCATCCTCCACTGCACTCCCGGACCACAGCAGAGAGCTGGCCTGGAAGAGGGGCAACCGGGACAGAATCCGGTGCCCCGACCGGGACTAGAACCCAGTGTGCCGGCACTGCAGGCGGAGGATTAGCCTAGTGAGCTGCGGTGCTGGCCACCCCAATCAGTCTTAACCAGAAGTCAGTGGTGGCTGCTGCCCTCTGAAAGCTTGGCCGGGGCTGGCGGGTCTGCTTCCTAGACAGCAGGTTCACATGGCTGCTGTCGGAAGTTCTGCGTCTCTCGAGTGGCTGGCTGGAGGGACTGGGGTTCCTCTATATGGCAATCTCTCCCACGGCTGCCTGAGTGTCCTCAAGTTATGGCAGCACAGGTGTTTGGACCCCTGCCAACTAAGTGGGAGACCCAAATGGAGTTCCTGGCTCCTGGCTTCAGCCCGGCACAGCCCTGGCTACTGCAGCCATGTGGGGGAGTGAGCCAGTGGGTGGAGGATCCTTTCTCTCTCTGTCTCTCCCTCTCTCTGTTGCTCTGCCTTTCAAATAAAGAAAGAAATCTAAGAAGCCGCATGTCTTTGATGACCTATTATTAGAATCATGCAATGCCACCTTTCACCACATTAAATTCCTTAGGGAAACAACACACTTAATGAGACAGGGCTTAAGCGCCACTTGTCAAAGAGAGGAGTATCAGAATTGTCTGTTTAAAGTGACCACACCAAATTATTCATCGCTGTTTGCCTCCATTTTTTTTAATATTTGTAGAAAAGATTTATTTATGGGGTCGGTGCTGTGGCGTAGCAGGTAAACCCGCTGCTTTGGTGCTGGGATCCCATATGGGTGCCAGTTCCTGTCCCAGCTGCTCCACTTCTGATCCAGCTCCCTGCAAATGTGCCTGGGAAAGCAGCAGAAGACAGAGTTGAAAGAGTTTGAAAGACAGAGTTACAGACAGAGAGAGGGAGAGACAGACAGAAGGGTCCTGCATCCACTGGTTCACTCTCCAAATGGCCACAACAGCCGGAGCTGCACCGATCTGAAACCAGGAGCCAGGAGCTTCTTCCGGGTCTCCCACGCAGGTGCAGGGGCCCAAGCACCTGGGCCATCCTCCGCTGTTTCCCCAGGCCATAAACAGGGAGCTGGATCGGAAGAGGAGCAGCCGGGACACAAACCAGCGCTTATATGGGATGCCAGGGTCGCAGGCAGAGGCTTAGCCTACTTTGCCACAGAGCCGGCCCTAACTTGTAGTGTAACCCCGGCCAAAATTCATCTATGGTAGAAACAATGAGAACAGTGGGGGAAGGGGCAGATGGACAAGAGGCAGGTGGGACTTTGTGGGGGAGAAGAGATAGTTTTGTATCAGCATTGCTTTGTACGCTGGCCAGCAGCCGCATGTTGTTATCCCACCACCGAACGCATTTGTGAAAACTCCCACGGCTTTCACTGGTAAAATTTACCCGTGAATACACCGGGTAGAGCTACTGGGGGCGACACGTACTGATTGCAGACGCAGCTCACTCTGAAAAGCCTCCGAGAATAAGACCCTGCGATGGCTGGGCAGAGGCACGGGTAGGAGCTGCGGTGAATGTTGCCCCAAGGCAGAGGCAACTCCAGGAGCCAGATCATGGGCACGTGCGTCTACACCGCACGCTGCCTCCTGCTGTATTTCTCACTGAATGCCCACCGCCAGGCACACAGGGGGCGCTCAGCGTTTGCCAAAGAAGCACAGGTAAGAAAATGCATTCTGCCCCCCCTCCCCAGGGACCCACTCCCCCAAGGCTGCAGCCCTTGGCTGGCTCAGGGTGGGTGCAGCATCACCCGCCAGACCCCGCCTCCATCAGCCCCATCACCAGGTCTCCATCCTCCAGAGGGAACCCAGGCCCGCCTTGAAGCCCCGCCCCCGGAGGCCTAAACCCCGCCCTCCGGATACCCCGGAGCTACGCCCCCGAGCCTGCCTGCAGCCCTTGGCCCCGGCAGGTTGGACTGAAGCATCAGCCGCTGGTCCCCGCCTCCCATCATCGCCATCACCGCTTCCCCATCCTCCGCAACCCGAGGTCCTGGGAGCCCGCAAGCTTGCAGCGGAGGGGTGGGGCGCCCCGAAGCCACGCCCCGGCGCCCTGAAGCCACGCCCCGGCCCCGCCTCCCATCATGCCCATCACCGCTTCCCCATCCTCCGCAGCCCGAGGTCCTGGGAGCCCGCAAGCCTGCAGCGGCGGGGTGGGACGCCCCGAAGCCACGCCCCCTGTACCTCCAGAAGCCACGCCCCGGCGCCCTGAAGCCACGCCCCTGTCCCGCCTCCATTCCTCCCCATCACCGCTTCTTCCTCCGCTGCCCGAGGTCCCGGGGGCCCGCAAGCTTGCAGCGGAGGGGTGGGGCGCCCCGAAGCCACGCCCCCAATCCCGAGCCACGCCCCTGCCCCGCCTCCGCCGCGCTCGTGTCCCTTTAAGGCGCGCGCCGCGGCCTCGCTCTGCGGCCGGAGCCTGCGCGCCCCCTCCTCTCCGTCCGCGGCCACCGTCATGTCCGCCGGCCGGCCCGGGCGGGCCCCGCAGCCCGCGGCGGGCGGGCCATGATCCGGCTGGGCGGCTGGTGTGCGCGGCGGCCCCGCGGCGCAGCGCTGGCCGCGGGGCGGCGCCGAGCATCGGGCGGCCGCTCTCTGCGGGTGCTGGTGGACATGGACGGCGTCCTGGCCGACTTCGAGGGCGGTTTCCTCCGCAAGTTCCGCGCGCGCTTCCCCGACCTGCCCTTCATCGCGCTGGAGGAGCGGCGCGGCTTCTGGGTGTCGGAGCAGTACGGCCGCCTGCGGCCTGGGCTGAGCGTGAGCACCCCAGACCCCGGCCCGGGCGCCCCGGCGACCTTGGGCGGGTCCCTCGTCCGATGGGGTCCCGGGGGGGAGCAGCGAGGCCGCCGCCGGCCGCAGCCCTGCGCTCGGGGGCCGCCGCCGCCGTTTTTGGGGGGCTCCTCGCAGAGCCGAGCGCGCACCCCTTCCTCAACCGCCGCCTGGCTGAATTCGCCCTCAGGACCGCGATGCGCTACGTCCTCATTCGTCGCACCCCCCGTTATTCCTTTCCCAGGAATTGGATTTTTTTTTAAACCAGTCTCTTTTTTTTCCCCCTTTTTTGCATCCGAGGCTCAGAGAGATTTGGAGGCCCCTTCGCCCCCACCTCACACAGTGGATCCGTAGTCAGGCTGGGAGATGCGGGCCGTCCTGAGCCACCCCACCGCAGCCCCCGCGATGGACAGAGGAGAGAGGACCCCCACCCCCATCCCCCTCACCTTGCGAGTTGACAGCGTTCTGGGAAAATGAACAGGGGATCTGGCCGTGCGCCCCACCGACAGAGGCTGGATAGAAACCCCCACGTGCCGGCTGCAGTCTGCGGAGAAGGAGGCGCGCCCTGAGTGTGCCACTAGGGGGCGCAGTCAGGGGTCCAGACCCCAGGGTGCCTGATCCCGAGCGCAGGGGGCTGGCTTTCCCCATCCCAGAACCCTGCGCTCTCTGGCTCCGGCCTCAGTGGAGGGACAGGTGTGAGAGGAGGAGCCAGCTGAGGGCCCCTCTCTGCCTGGAGTGTGCTTAGTCCCACTCTCCAAGCCTGCATCTCGGCTCCCGCTCCCGGCCAGGACTCACGCCGGGAGGCAGCAGGGGGGGTTCCAGGACCTGGGACCCTTACCACCCGTGTTGGAAGACCTGGATGGAGTTCCTGGCTCCTGGCTCTGGCCGGGTCCTGTTCTGGCTGTTGCGGGCAGCTGGGGAGTGAACCAGCAGATGGAAGATTCTCTCTCTCCCTCTCTCTCTCTGGCCCCTGCCTCTCTCCGTCTCCACCTGGAGAGGCACTGTGGCTTCTCCAGCCCTTGGTACGATCCTATGGACCCCAGGACTGAGGAGATGGGCTCCTGTTTGCTCAGTATGAGGCAGGGGGCAGTGAGGAGGGTGCCCTGGGAGTGACCTACTGATCTGCTTCCATGCCAAAGGCACGGGTCACAGCAGGACAGCCCTGGGAGGGGGAGGGGGTTCCTCTTGCCCAAGTTGGCCCAGTATCTGTGGTCACATCAAAGCAGCAGGGAGCAGCCCGGCTTGCAGACAGAATGTTCTCTCGGGTCTCCTTGATTCTCCCATTGTTCAGGGAGGTGAGTAGGGCAGAGGCAGCGAGCATAGCTAAAACAATATTTATTTTGTTTATTTGAAAGGCAGAATTGGAGAGGGAGAGAGAGAGAGAGATCTTCCATCCACTCTCCAAATGGCCAGGACTGGGCCAGGCCAAAGCAAGGAGCCTGGAACTCCATCCAGGTCTCCCACATGGGTGGCAGGGCCCCAGGCACTTGGGCCATCTTCCACTGCTTTCCCAGGTGCATTAGCAGGGAGCTGGATCGGAAGTGGAGCAGCTGGGCATGTACTGGTGCCCATATGGGATACCTGTGCCACATCGGTGGAGGCTTAAACCGCTGTGCCATGGTGCCATCTCCATTTTTAGTCTTAGCCTGTTGGGACTGATGAACCGAGCCCAGAGCAGCCAAGGGCTTTGACCAGGGGCTCACGGCATGTCTGTGCCGTGGAGCTGAGGGACCTCCGGTGCTGGGTGCCTGGTATGCCCCAACCCGGACCTCCAAAGGGAAGGAGCGACTCCCGTGTCCCTTTTATAGACTGGGAAAGAGGTTCATGGGGGATCCACTCCACCCGTCTACACTGCCTGCGTGTGAGTCAGGAGCCCTGAGTTCAAGTCTGGAAGCAGGCAGGGTTCGCCCTGAGGGTCGGTGGGGGTCGGATAAGAGCAGGGGCATCAACTGGGTGCTGGCCTTGACTTTGCAGAGGCACTTCCTGTGGGGTTCAGCCCCCCTGCCCCACTAAATCCCACGCAGCCCAAGGCCGTTGATCTCTTTCCCCTTGCTTGGTCCTAGACAACATGGCCGCTGCTCTGCTGTGTGACGTTGGGTCGGAGTCCTCCCCTTTCTGAGCCTCCATTGTCTACTTTGTAAGACGAGAGGGCGCAGTTTTGCTCTAAACTCTAAAAGTGCGTTTTTTAAAATTCTTTCCTGGGTCCTTATGGGCAACACAGGAGACAGGAGCAGAGCTGTTCCTGCTGACGGGGGGTGGGGCCTCCTACCTGGCCCCGCCCCCAGCCTGGCTCAGCGGTGCCCGTGGGAATCTAGCCTGGGACCTGGGGCTGACCTTGGCTGACCTTGGCCCCGGGGAGAGCTGAGCTGTCTCCTCCAGTTCCCCAGAGGCAGGAGGTGACACCTTCACCCGTCTCTGCTGGACCCCGACAGACAGCAGCCCAGCCACCACCCTTACCCCAAACACACACAAGCTTTGTGCACCCCACCCTCACCCCAGGAAGTTCCAAGAGTTCCTGGGAAATGAAAGTTGAAAAAAAAATAGCTTTTTTTGGTGCAAAAAAATTTATGCAGCCCCTTCAAAAAGCTCACGGAAGATGGGTGTTATGAAACACACACACACACACACACACACACACAGCCCCACGCTTGGATTTCACAGTGTTTTTGCATCCCAAGAAGCTCATCTTTGAATTACAACTGAATTGGGGCTCCTGGTGTTGGTGGGGTCTGGGGGAGAGGTCAGGGGAATGGGGAAGCCCCTGCGTTCCTGTGGGCAGGTGAGGGCACTCCTGGTGTTGGTGGGGTCTGGGGGAGAGGTCAGGGGAATGGGGAAGCCCCTGCGTTCCTGTGGGCAGGTGAGGGCACTCCTGGTGTTGGTGGGGTCTGGGGGAGAGGTCAGGGGAATGGGGAAGCCCCTGCGTTCCTGTGGGCAGGTGAGGGCACTCCTGGTGTTGGTGGGGTCTGGGGGAGAGGTCAGGGGAATGGGGAAGCCCCTGCGTTCCTGTGGGCAGGTGAGGGCACTCCTGGTGTTGGTGGGGTCTGGGGGAGAGGTCTGGGGAATGGGGAAGCCCCTGCGTTCCTGTGGGCAGGTGAGGGCACTCCTGGTGTTGGTGGGGTCTGGGGGAGAGGTCAGGGGAATGGGGAAGCCCCTGCGTTCCTGTGGGCAGGTGAGGGCACTCCTGGTGTTGGTGGGGTCTGGGGGAGAGGTCAGGGGAATGGGGAAGCCCCTGCGTTCCTGTGGGCAGGTGAGGGCACCCTGGTGTTGGTGGGGTCTGGGGAGAGGTCTGGGGAATGGGGAAGCCCCTGCGTTCCTGTGGGCAGGTGAGGGCACCCTGGTGTTGGTGGGGTCTGGGGGAGAGGTCTGGGGAATGGGGAAGCCCCTGCGTTCCTGTGGGCAGGTGAGGGCACTCCTGGTGTTGGTGGGGTCTGGGGGAGAGGTCAGGGGAATGGGGAAGCCCCTGCGTTCCTGTGGGCAGGTGAGGGCACTCTGGTGTTGGTGGGGTCTGGGGGAGGTCTGGGGAATGGGGAAGCCCTGCGTTCCTGTGGGCAGGTGAGGGCACTCCTGGTGTTGGTGTCTGGGGGGGAGAGGTCAGGGGAATGGGGAAGCCCCTGCGTTTCCTGTGGGCAGGTGAGGGCACTCCTGGTGTTGGTGGGGTCTGGGGGAGAGGTCAGGGGAATGGGGAAGCCCCTGCGTTCCTGTGGGCAGGTGAGGGCACTCCTGGTGTTGGTGGGGTCTGGGGGAGAGGTCAGGGGAATGGGGAAGCCCCTGCGTTCCTGTGGGCAGGTGAGGGCACTCCTGGTGTTGTGGGTCTGGGGGAGAGGTCTGGGGAAGGGGGAAGCCCCTGCGTTCCTGTGGGCAGGTGAGGCACTCCTGGTGTTGGTGGGGTCTGGGGGAGAGGTCAGGGGAATGGGGAAGCCCCTGCGTTCCTGTGGCAGGTGAGGGCACTCCTGGTGTTGGTGGGTCTGGGGAGAGGTCAGGAATG